TTATTCACTGGCTTTCCATACCACGGTGGTGAGCGCGTTGGTGGGATCTACGGATGACATGCGCCTGATAAGTGCAAATTATTCTCGTGATTGCATTGTTGACTTCATCGCTAATGGAGGGATGCAGCCGTGGTGCAATTGTCAGCGCGACACAGAGGGAGCATGTTTGGTCTCCCGGTGCGGCATGTCTGTGAGTGTCGTCTAATGTGACTGTCGTCTTAAACCGTGAGCGTCTTAATCCATGAGCATCTTATACTCTGAGCGTCTTAAAGTCGTTCGCCTCTGTCCACCCAGCAGTTGTGAATAGATTCACAGTCAATGGCCAGGGCCGCGTGTGGTGAGGCGAAGTGCGGGGTGCTCCCACCTCTCCCGAGAAGGATGCCCCTCCCGCCAGCAGTGGTGTTAGCAGGGAATTGCAGCGCCGCACCTTTACCGTCCACCGCTTCTGAATACGATGCCTGAAAATTATTGTTTTTCAACGAAATCATGGGGTCTTGGTGCTTTCTTCTTTTTTTGTCCCCCGCGTTTCTCCATTTATATAGTTATTTATTTACTTATTTTGGGGGGGGGGGGGGGGTTATTTGCATCTCTCACGCATTGCCTTTAATGTCGATTCAAATCTTGCGTCCCGTTGGCACTGAAAAATGTCACCTCGGGAAAGGTTACGCGGGACTCACGGAGAGATAATCCGGCTTCCGGCGAGACGCCGGCCGCCGCGGGAGGTCAAGCGATTTGACGGCACGTGCCGTCCCCGACAGCCCGAGGTGCCAATTTCGCCGACCAGCAAACTTCCGTGCGAGTCGGAGCGGCATCTCGAGGAGCCGATCCCACCTCCCCCCCCCCCACTTGCCGCCCCGGTTTAATGAGCTCACCGGCAGCGGGGTGGCGAAGCAGCGCAGTCGGCGGGTGGGAAACGTGGAGCCGGATTTTTAGCGCTCGCTCCCCGATGGTCCCGAGGTAGGCGGGTGGCTGCCGCTTCCAGTTGGCGCCCGGCGCGCGCTCTCTCTCGGTTCTGCGAAACGCGGCTGGGAAACGAAAATCGGCTGTCTGAGCGCGTGTACGCACGGACTCGCGTACGTATGTTGAGCTTCTTTCGCACCGTACGTAGGCAACCGTGCCAATCGGGCGGTGGCAAGGGGCCACACACTGAACACAAAAAAAACAGTTCTAAAGTAATACGTTTTTAATTTGGATGATTTAAAAGTGCATAGCTCCAGTGGCTTGATGACGAGGTGGTGATGGTTTTGACAAGAGTGATGATGTGGTGATGGTAAGATGTATGAATGTTCAACTTCTCTTGGAGTGTACGTAGCCAGCCGTGCATATCGGAAGTGCGGGGTAAGGCTAACAAACTAAAGACAAAAACGCATTTCTAAAGAAATTAGTTGCAATCTAGATGATTTAAAAGTGCGTAGCTCCAGTAGCTTGATGATGAGGTGGTGATGGTAAGATGTATAAATGTTCAACTTCTCTTGGAGCGTACGTAACCAGCCGTGCACATCGGAAGTGCGGGGTAAGGCTGACAAACTAAACACAAAAAAGCAGTTCTAAAGAAATGAGTCTCAATCTCGATTATGTAAAAGTGCATTACTCCAGTAGTTTGATGATGACGCAGTGATGGTGATGTATGTATGTATGTTGAACTTCTTTCGCACTGCACGTAGCGAGGGAAGGACAACAGTGAAATGATGGGAACGTGTAAACACGCCATAATCACATCTGTACATGATGGCGAAGCCCCATGGTAGCAGAACAATTGTCTGCAGGCCCTCGAAAACCCGACGAATGCTTTGGTGTTCACATTGCCCTTGTACTGTTCGCATTTTGGTTGCCTTTGGATCCATAGCACTGGTGATACAAAGCCATCAAAGAGGCTGTCTCTCGTGCAGCCTAATCAGTTTCAAGGGCAGTGCCTACGTTATCAAAGCACACTTGTTTGCATTTCATAAGAAGTACGTGTGGCCCATGCAGACTTGATATGCCTTGCAATATGTGTCTATTTGAAAGTTTTCCACGTAGTCAAAACGTGCCTTTTAGTTACTCGTTCAATTTAGCCTCCAACACACCGATGTGCTGAACCAGCAACGAATTGGCATGTTCTGTTCACGTGACAAACCTTACTCATTGGCTTCGTCGTGTGGTGGCGGGTTTGACGACACATTTATATATACGCGACCTGACCCCAAAAACCTCTGTTATGGAAGAGGAACCACAATGCACTTGGTGCAGGCAATGCTGATGGGTGTTTTTTGTTTGCACCATGCCCGAGGCCCGTGTGTTATTTACAAATCTCTGCGTGTGTTTTGTGTGAACCTTGCGACAGACAGAGTCCGAGATGATTGTTACGTGAGTGGGGGGGGGGGTAGCAAATGGGAGGTGGTAAGAGGACATGAGTGTTAGTTGCAAAGCCAAACATCGCACAGCTTGGAGGTAGTTTCACCGGAGCAGTCATTGATAGTCGTGGCTAACAGGGTGGAGACCATCATTAGAATCCTGGTGAATAAGGGGCCACGTTGGCCACAGGTGCGCGCGGTTACAGCTCAGCAGCAAGCTCCGCCGCGCTCGTAATTACTCCAACAGGCACGTCACGCTTCACTCCAACACGAGATTTACGGCGGCTTTGTGAGTCGGCTGAAAGATGCGATTTTTCAACTTTACTCGTGCCGCTCTATCTCGTCGTTTCGTATTGTTGGTACAGATGTCTGCCGCATCAATCTCAGGGTGACATTCGCGAGTGCAATTAGCGCACCATTAGCATACCTTTAAAGTGTTCCCATTTGCGTGATTAGATGCATCTATCACGCGCGTAAGAACTATTTTAATTGACGAATTTATTTAATTGATACATGCCTAATATCTCATAACATTAACACTGCATTTAATAACAATAATATGAAATGGGCTAATGGATTGGGCAATTGTCTTTTAACGGACCTTCAAGGCATGCCTGACCCTGCAATTGGAGATCACACTTCAACATCATCAACAACAATAGGAATAATTCACCATGATTTACAACTTGTTTAAGTTAGCCATTCCGATCTATAAAGCTCCGCATGTTCTTGGACCTATCCCACCTGTGGGCCTGACTGATCTGTCATACGACTGGGGTTTATACTCTACCACGCTCTTCAGAGCCGGAGCTACTTCTACTACTACTACCCTCCGAGCCTTGGCTCTTGTGCTCGATGCTGGGAGGGTCTTCTCAAGCGCTCGCCACGAGGATCTGCAAAGCCTTGGCCGCAGTGAACTGTCACGCTATGAGCCTCGTTGTGTTCAGGAGGTAGTTGCAAGGCTCGCGATTTTCTCCCGGCTTTTGCTTCGACCTCATCGTTTTACTCTTTTTTTATTTTGTTTTTAGCGTACACTGTTTTTGATACCCTCTTGAGTGGAGGTGATATTACATTTATAATAACTACGGTTAACGACTATCCCCTTCGCCAATCCACTGACGGATGAAGGCCTCCCCATGGCGTTCTGGTCATGGGGAGGGGGGCTGGGGGGGGGAGTTGTTTGGGCCATACTTCACCGCGCCGGTCAGTGCGGCGGGGGTGAAGCGGGTGCCCAGGGTTTGATGCTCGCTGTCACGAGGGAGAAGCAGTCGACGGGCGTTCCCGTTTTTGGGGGGGTTTTCACGTCTTCCGCCGTGAGGACGCTGCGCACGCCACGCTCACGCTCGCGATGTCCCGTGGACATCGGCGGATTCCGCAGAAGCCTTCCCAGCGGGGTCTTGCGGTGGTTAAAGCGGTCCTCCAGCCGGGCGAAGGCACTTCATGGATCAGCTCCCAGAGTGACGAGCGCCTCCTGAATCCCCGCATCAATTTCAGATGTAAATGAGGGCACAGAATGAGATTAAAATGGACACAACCAGGATGTCCAATTGTTTAAGTAATTATTGAAGTGGAACAAGTTGGACGTCCGGAATACGATCCTCATTCGAGACCCAAACATCACAACCTCCTGGCTTTGACACTCCTCCTCCTCCCTCCCCCCCTCCCTCCTCCCACATTCCCCCCTCCTCCCTCCCCCCTCCTCCTCGAAGACACCGGTGGTGGAACCGTCAACCACATCACAACATTAACAGGCCGATGCGCAATTCGTGAATTGGAACATTTAAGACAAAGCACAGTCGTAGTGTGATTATGGCCATGCATGGACCGTATTGTAGGACACTGCAGTCTGCGCTCCTGTTCACCAGCAGCGTTCTGCCGTATCTGGATGAGAATCTAGGATGGGTGACAGTAGCAGCAGCACGATCGGGACTCTCGCGCCACGGTGGCGAGGTGTTAACTACCTCGCCTGGTATACAGGAGGTCGTTGGTACGATCCCGACCCTGACGCCTGCTGTATATTTGGAGTTTGCATGTCTCTCTCCCCATGGTCGCGTGGATTTTTCTCCGCGTCCTCTGCGTTTCCCCTCCACATTTATAAACGTGCGTTTAGAGTACTTGGCTGCTATACATTTCCACGTGATAAGCCACTTCGTTGAGCTATCATTTGTGGCCGGATCGCTTCTGAAAAAGAGCTGTGGAACTCAGTGGGGCCTTACCTGGTAAAATAAAAGTAGTTGAGTCGAGTCCCAAAGCAGCACGACCAATCACAAGGCGAGAATGAGCCCGGCTAAAACATCTGACGCGCTTGGCGACGTCACAATGCGCTTGGTGACGTCACAATGCGCTTGGAGACGTCACAACGCACTTGTGACATCAGAACGCGCTTGGCGACGTCACAATGTGCTTGGCGACGTCACAACGCGCTTGGCGACGTCACAACGCGCTTGGTGACGTCACAACGCGCTTGGTGACGTCACAACGCACTTCTGACGTCACAACGCACTTGGTGACGTCACAACGCACTTCTGACGTCACAACGCACTTGGTGACGTCACAACGCACTTGGCGACGTCACAACGCGCTTGGCGACGACGCTGTGTCCGTGTGCGCGTACAGCGGGGCGAGTGCTCACCGTGCGCTCCCGCAAACCCCGTTGTTGCTCCGCAGGTCGACGAAAGCCCACCCCGGCTCCATCGTGCACATCAGCGACAACCCCGTGGACGAGGGGAAGGTAAGCGGCGCACGCCGGCTCCCCGGGGTCTCGTGACGCGCTCAGCACCACCGCACGCGTTGCCAGCTCGGCTCGCGCCAAGTGAACTGAACACGAAACTAAGGAAAAGTTTTTTTTTATTTGCCGGGTAAGGTCCACTGAGCTATACAGTAGCTCTTTGTTACAGACGTGACCCGGCCACCACAGATGACAACTCAACCGAAGTGGCTTATTTGCGTGGAGTTTCATAGCGGAGGCCAAATACTCTTGAATGTGCGATGTCGATTCTAAATGTGGAGGGGGGGGGGGGAACGGGAGGACCTGGAGAAAAATCCATGCGACCACGGGAAGAGAGAGACACCGAAACCTTCAAATATACAGCAGCAGGCGTCAGTGTCGGGATCGAACCCATGACCTCCTGCATACCAGGTGAGGTAGTTAACATCTCACCATCGTGATGATGATGATGATAGAGAAACACACAAACTCCAAATATACAGCAGGCGTCAGGGTCGGGATCGAACCCACGAGCTCCTGCATACCAGGTGAGGTAGTTAACATCTCACCACCGTGATGATGATGAAAGAGAGACACAGAAACTCCAAATATACAGCAGGCGTCAGGGTTGGGATCGAACCCACGAGCTTCTCCATACCAGGCGAGGAGGTTAACATCTCCTAGCCACCGTGATGATGATGATGAGAGAGACACACAAACTCCAAATATACAGCAGGCGTCAGGGTTGGGATCGAACCCACGAGCTTCTCCATATCAGGCGAGGAGGTTAACATCTCCTAGCCACCGTGGCTTTGCGCGTCGAGGTGACCCCAGACGTGTTCGAACCGACGTCTCCTCGTGTCTCGCCGCAACGTGGTGGCCATTCCCACCTTAAGGAATCAAGTTCGCGAGGCAGTCTGCCGCTCTTTGAGAAATGTAAATGCCCTGATTAAAATCGGCAGCTGCACTTCCTCCGCTCCGTAGTCCATTGCCGTGATTGCTCAGCGTGACGTGGTGGACGGCAATTTAATGTAGCTTGAAATTGAGTGCGTTGGCGCGTGTGTGTGTGTGGTGTGCTTCACCGTGAATGTCTCCAACAATAAATGTGCCGTTAAGGAATTCAAGTAAACGGTTCACGACGACGGGACTGGCGACAACTGATGATGATGATGGTGGTGGAGTCGGCGATGCAGCCGACAGTTGGCACTCACGGTTTTGGCGACTTCAAAAAAATGACTTCTGATTTTGCAACAGCGTTTGACATTCGCCAACATTTTCTAAATCTGTTTCCGCGCGAAGCGAGCGACCGTTTAGAAGGAGTCGCGTCTGTTGGGCCTCGCTCTGCGTGCTGCACAAAGAGAGTCGTCAGAATGGGCATGTCTCCTGGAGAGATCCGTTGAGCTGTGACGCTCCCTATCGCCCTTGCCTTGCCCGCACGTCGTTCTCAGCCCGACAAACCGTCTACCGAGTCCCTCCACGTGTTTCGCCGTCTTCCAATTTCGTCATTGGGGTTCGTTTGGGTCAGACTGCGTCGCGATGGCCGCCACGGCTCTGTGACGACGGTCAGCACACTGCACACCGGTTCGATTCCATCTCCCGGCGTGGCATTTGAAACAACGAGGGCAAAGGTTTTTAGACTCCCCCCCCTTCCCCCGTCTTTTTCCAACCCAGCAGTTTACTAAACACCGCAGTTGATCAGATCGGCAGGTTCGTGTACGGTGGGTGCAAGTTGTGGCTACTCCAACCTCTGCCAATGAGCTTTTTCCTCACCCGTATGTAGCCAACCGCGCTAATCGGAGGTGCCGGGGGTGGGGTGGGGGACAACAAATTAGCGTGGAAGAGTAGGCCAAACTCCCCTCTCTCTAGATCTCGCTCTGGTGGCGGTCCTTCTGCCAGCGGTGGCTCGAGCGGGCGTTTGCATGGCTGGACCTTTGCCATCCCTTTAAACATCTCCGTGCAAAGCGCCCCCCATGGGGAGGGAAACGGCTACCAGCAGCACCAGCAACAGCAGCGTAGGAACCGTCTGGCTAGCGGCGAAGAGCCGGCGGGAAGGAGCCAGTGGCCCCTTCCCGCAGCGCCATCAGCGCATTCTCCACGACTGCCGTTAACCAATCTCATGCTACGGTGGCGAGGAGATGTTAACTACCTCGCCTGGTATGCGGAAGATCGTGGTTATGATCCTGACGCCTGCTGCTGTATGTTTGGAGTTTGCGTGTCTCTCTCTCTCTCCACGTGGTCGCGTGGATTTTTCTGCGGGTCCTCCGGTTTTCCCCTCCACATTTAGAATAATGCGTTTAGAGTATTTAACTGCTGTAAATATCCATGTGACGGAAAGCGAATTCGTTGAGCTATCGTTTTGCGATCGCCAGGTCGCTTCTGAAGAATAGCTATGCAGCAGCTCAGTGGGCTCTTACCTGGTAAAATAAAAATTGTAAAAAGCGTCTCACAGGGATGCCTTCTCTTCTTCTGTTGTGTTGTGCCCCCTCCCCCTGTGCCCCCCTCTCCCCCCCCCCCGTGCCCCTCCCCCCTCTTTTAACCCCCCCCCCCGCAATTGCGTGCCTCTGTGCGTTCACAGCTGCTGATTGGCTACGAGAGGGGAACCGTCGTGCTCTGGGACTTGAAGTCCAAGAAGGCTGATTTTCGATACTATTACGAAGAGGTATGGTCCCTAATAATAATTACGATGCCAAATACGTTACATTTTACGAAGCATCCTCCTACAAGATACTCAAAGCGATGCACACCACGGAAAAGAAGTCGACATTGGTGATTCATTGTGTGACCAATTTGGGAGAAAGACAAAAAAACCAGCGTGGGAGCGAATTGAGAAGAACGACGAACTTTAGCGACGGGACGAGTTCCGATGGCGGCGGAGTTTTTGAACGACGCTCTTCGTTGTCTCCCGACGGGCGAGCGCCACTGGGTCAAGAGTTCCCTCGGTTGGGGCGGGCGAGTGGAGCGGCACAATCTGGCGAAACGCTGGCTCGGAGTTTTAACCGACAGCCTTGCTCTTAAACCATTGGAACCTCATTTGCCAGTAGAAAAATATGATAATTGTTTTTTTACCCTTTTATCTGGCAATAAAACTGACACCTTTTCTACAAGGAGTCATGTTTGCATAGACCACAATACCTGCAGTCATAATGCAAACAAAAAACATAACTCTGATAATGTATGCACTGTCCTTGAAGTTGATTGGTCCAACACCATGTGAGACTAGGCTCTAAGGAAAGCTGTCTCGGGTGTGGACCAATCAACTTCAAGGACAGTGCATACATTATCAGAGTTATGTTTTTTGTTTGCATTATGACTGCAGGTATTGTGGTCTATGCAAACATGACTGCTTGTTAAAAAGGTGTCAGTTTTGTTGCCAGATAAAAGGGTAAAAAAACAATGATCAGCCTTGCTCTTGTTAGGTCACGACGCGCCCGACTGAACGTTCATGGCCATTTGTGCATTACCTTACAATCAATCAGCATTTGTGCATGACGTTACAATCAATCAGCAAACCAACTGCAATTATTAAGCCCGGCTTAGCTGCGCGGCTGTTCTGCTGATGTCACGGCACCGACAGAGCTGTTTGTTTCGTGTTTAGTTGCCCTCCGTCCGCCGTGGTCTTCCCGATTTAGCACGGTTGGCTATGTACGGTGCGAAAAAAGTTCAACGTACACACCCACAAACTCGATTGGCAAAAATTGCCCCACGTTGACAACGCGATTTGTTTGGCCATGCCCGGCGGAGGAGGACGCCTAGCTCTTAATTGTACGCAACTCGATCTGACCAGTGAAGGAACCGATAATGATGAATCACCACGCGCGTGTTGGTAGAGCAAGGGGTGCAGTGAGCACAGGACGCGTTCACGTCGACTGTTTGCCTTCAGCGCCGAATCTACCCGGAAAAATGTCAGCAGCTGACCAAAGGGAAACGTCGCTTTAAAAGAAGAATACATCTCTCTCTCCCTGTGTGGTGATGTAACATCCGGAATTTTAGAATCGGTTTATTCACCTCCTCGCGTTACCACTTTGGCATGGTGTTTAAGAGACGGACGCGCTCGCTAATTCATCACGGTACGCTCCGGGCGTCTTTTGCGGCTCTTGGAGAAATCCGGACACGGGATTGCTGCTACTGCTGCTGCTGCTGCGGCTGCTGCTCCCTGTTTCGAAAATAGAGCGTCTGATTTCCCCGGAGGAGTCATAACGGCGGAAGGCGTGGGCAGCATCGCCACGTGTCACTTGGAAAGGCGTCGTAATCCTCGGAGCCACCACCCCCGCCCCTCCCCCCCCCCTAGTCCGTGCCCCGACACGCGACGTGATTCAGCGCCACACACCTCTCGCCGTGACTGACGGGACAAATTGCGCGCTCCACGTTGGGGACATTTGGGGGACGCCTCGCCGTGGAGAGTCGAGGCGCTATCACGACACCGTTTGTCACCCTGCTGCATTGCACCTTTCAGGAGGCGATAGATGCATTTTGACACGGATGAAAGTTTCGTTTATTTACCTACGTACGTAGAATGCGTAACGCGGCGTAATCGTTCGCGTCGTTACGGTGAAATATAAGTGATGAACTATGATGGCAATACGCCTCCTTCACGTTTCTGTCACTTAAAAAAAATTAGTCTTTTTTTACAAATCCTACCAGCCATACTGCCTTCTAGGAGTGCATCATTTTCGCAGCGTTGGTTCAACGCAAGCGAAATTCTGGACCGGTTTTGACCTTCGGTGGCTCGTCAGTGAGCCGTCACTTGCTTTCACACGGCCCACGCCCACCGGAGGTTTACCAATTCCGTCAGGGCCCAATACAATATTGTATCCATCGCTTCGAGCATCCTAGCCGCACCAATCGGCTAATCGAAGGGCAAATATTTTCGACCTCATTTCAGCACGCTTCTCTCAGTTCCGCCGAGTTTTGCGACTTCGAAGTTGGGCCGCTTTTTGTTGTGGCTCTGTGATATCCGCTTCTGCGGGCCCGTCGCCCAATGCGAAGGCTCGCGCTGCTCTGGGGGAGGTTTGGTGACCGGCTTCCTCGTCTCATTTATTCAACGTCGCCCGCACAATTGGGATAGAAATGGTCGGGAAATGACAAAATGGCAAGAATCAAAGAAAATGATTGAAGCGTGCCACTTCGAATTGTATGTGCGTATGTATGTTGAGCTTCTTTCACACCGTACGTAGCCAATCGTGTTAATCGTAGGTGCGGTGTGTGTGCGTGTGTGCGTATGGGGCGGTGGTGTAGCGGTGAGCGCGACGCTGCGCTACGAACCCGGCGACCCGAGTTCGATTCGCGCTCACGGCCAACATCGGTGACGATTATCTGAACCGGTCCTGGGCCTTCCCTAGGTCGACTCAGCCGCGAATGAGTACCTGGCACTGTGTGTACAAACATCGCCACTGGGGAGACAAAGGCGGTCGGGCGTGGTGCTGGCCACCCACCCCCTCGTGTACCGTGCCGGCCTTCATAACAGCACTTGCCCCAACAGTCCGTTAAAGGCTAGTCGGGGGATCTTTGTTTTGGGGCGCTATACAAATCCTAAACAAAATAGAATGTTGAACGTGTTGGACTCTTCTCGCCGTGTACCCCCCCCCCCCCGCCCCTTCAGGAGATCCACTCGGTGTCGTGGCACCACGAGGGGAAGCAGTTCGTGTGCAGCCACTCGGACGGCAGCCTCACCACGTGGAACGTCCGCAGCCCCGCCAGGCCCACCGGCCTCATCGTGCCCCACAGTACGGCCGTGTCGTCGTCGTCATTCGACGATGATGATGATAATGATGATGATCTGGGTTTGTAACGGGACGTCGGCGGCGCCGCGCCTGCGTTCCCACCTCGCTCTCGAGGTGAGAGGACGGCTCAGAGGCGAGCGGGGAAAGGCAGCGGCAAGGTTGTGACCCGCCGCCAAAAATTGCCTGAGCTCTGCCGTCCTCTATACACCAATTTGTATTCGGCCAGTTAACGAGTTTTGGGAGACCCGGAGAGAGAAAACCCGTGTGCACGAGGGGGCAACCCTCTATCCCGCAAGGGTGGAGCAGATGGAGACTAGTTCGTACATTGCTGTACCGTCTTCTCTTGCTGGCAAGTCAGGCGATGGCACTTCGGCACCCCGCGGGAAGGCAGCTTCACAACATCTGCCCGAAGATCCACCGAACATCGCTGCATCCGCAGCGCCGGATGACGGGCGGCATGTACAGCGAACGCCACACGCTCATGCGCGGTGCTCTGTGGCCTGCGACGCTCGCGATGGCGTGCGGTCGCTCCCAACGGACACGTTCCCGTTACTTCCACGTGGCAGGGCTCTTGGAGCAATGATTTTGTCACTGGTTGAATGCGCGTCTGTGCGTGCCTGTGCGCGTCTCTGCTGTATGCGTGTGTGGGGGGAGCGGTAGTGGAGCAGTTAGTGAGACGCGCTACGAACCCGGCGACCCGAGTTCGATTCCCATTCATGGCAGATACCAGTGATGATTATCTGAACCGGTCCTGTATCTCTCTTAGGCAGACTCAGCCTTAATTGAGTGCCTGGTGCGATGTGTAAACATTGCCACTGGGGAGAAAAAGATGGCCATTCGTGGTTTTGACCACCCACCCCCTCCTGTGCCGTGCCGGCCTTTATAGGTGCTCGCTAACAGCACTTGCCCCAACAGTGTGTTCAGGCTATATGGGGGATCTTTGTCTTGTGTGTGAGGAGCGGTGGTGCAGCGGTTTGCGAGCTGCGGTACGAACTCTGTGACCCGAGTTCGTTTCCTGCATCGTGGCCAACACCAGTGACGATTATGTGAACCGGTCCTGGGTCTCCCCTAGGTCGACTCAGCCTCAAACTTCGCCACTAGGGAGATGAAGGCAGCTGCGCTTCGTGCTGTCCACCCACTGTGCAGTAGTAATTGTTTTAAAATAATAATTTTGTACGGCATCTTTCTCAATCCACTGCTGGATGAGGGCATCCCTACACCGTCGTATTAATTGCCTCTGGTGAGGCCTGTTCGTCCATAAAATAGTCACTCGTGAACAGCACTCCGCTCGCTGGGATTCGCCGTCTTGAGACTGACCATTCGCTGCAAGCAGCTCGGACCGGGCGATTCGTCTCAATGCCGCGCATTTGAATTGCCAATTTCCCTGTTGTTGTTGTTTTTATTATCACAAGCTTGACGATTGAGCCGCGTGCTCATAACGGCGTGCCGTGGAGTGATATGGGTCGGTGGTGGTGATGGGGCGGGCGGGAGAGGGATCTTATTCACGCGGTATTCTTCTGTGGCGAGGCACGGCCGTGAATGTTATCGTGTGATACTTTAAAATAAATAAATAAAAATTAGCCTTGAAGATTATACTAAAAAAAAATGAAGCCGCTTAATGAAAATGTTATTCTATTCATAGAAAGCTACGTATTAATCATCCCCCCTTTGTTAGCTTTAATTAGTGAAATTAATTATGCGTTGTATAATTTAATGTAATGGCTTTCGTTTGGTTGTGGGTTTTCTTCTCTGCTGTCTGTTAATGCGTCGTTCGGCACGATTTATCAGCGACTTTTAAGGGAACAAAATTGCACTTTTAACTTTTTATCACCCCGTGTCGTTCACGTGCGGCATTTAAATTCCTTGTCGGTGGAGAAGGATTAGCTACGAGCTTATTATTACTTCTGGATATCGGTTCGCTCCAATGGAACATGTCAGAGAATGCTTTTGCAGACCTCGTGTGATTGATGACATTCTATAGTCTTACACGTTTTTCCAAAACGTTCATAAACCCACGGATTATTTTAGTTTTTTTCTCTCCAAATTATGATTGCCATTTAGAAATACCACCACGGGACACGGACGAGCAGTGAGCACCTCGCTTGAGAACGTTGGGCGACAGGATCAAATGGACACTCGGTGGATTTTCACATTGCATAATGACAGACTGAGGAGGCCTTCATACAGCAGTGGATTGATTACACTGGTCAACACACTTTTTCTGGCATAAGGTATTCCAACGGTCATAAGGTAATTTTGGGGTGCTGATTCCACATCTGGCATCAGTTTTTGTCTATCACATCAGGTTTTTGAGATATCAAATATTGCATTTTCAATAAAAACTGCAGAAGAAAAATATTAAATAAATGTGGATATCTACATAAAATTCTATTATAAACACACTATCCTAAAAATACAGCACCATATTTTAATACTAAAGCAGTCACTGACTCGCAAGAACTTGCAATCATAAGTGACAGAGTTAATTTTGGGTAAAATCAATGAAAATGGGGTATGCCGATAGCATAAAAATGAGATGTGATAGAGCAAATCTGAGATCAGATTTGGAATCAGCACCCTGAAATTAGTCTAAAACAGCTGCAAAAGTCCAGGCCAGAAAAAAATGTTTTTTTTTGTTGTTGACCAGTGTTATTGATGACGATGGTGGTGGTGATTCGCTAATCCTGTGCTGCTACATTTAAGTAAATCATGTGGTGGGGGGGGGGGAGACAGGACGTATGAGACAGGCGATATAATCGAGACATTACAAATAGGAAACAAGGATCAATTCTCAAATGAAATCGTGACCTTGTGTCGTGGCAATGCACGGAATTAAGGTGAGGGTGAATCTTCACATGCTGAGCGTGCCTACATGACCGTGTGTATGCGCAAACGGGGCAAAGATCCCCCGTGTAGTCTTAACGGATTGTTGGGGCAAGTGTTATTGGTGAGCACCTCACTAATAACACTTGCCACCCACTGGAACAGCACACGAGGGGGTGGGTGGCAAGCACCATGCAACGGGACTCCTTTGTCTACCAAGTGGCGATGTCATGCACACCACACCAGGAACTCATTTGTGGCTGAGTCGACCTGGGGGGGGGGGAGCCCAATCGTCACCGGTGTTGGCCGTGAGCAGGAATCGAGCTCGGTATCGCCCGGGTTCGCAGCGCAGCGCGCTAACCGCGACGCCACCGCTCCCCCGTACGCCGTCCAAACGTGCGCACGTGATTTACTCGACGAATTTAAAAGTATTAGCATGCACGCGCACATTGACCTATCCAAGGGTGCACCTCTGAAATATGGCCTATAAAAATGTTTAAAGTGTAGCGCCAACGTAACTCAAACCGCTAAAGGCAATATTACTCCGCAGGTCCTGGGCACATGGCCAGCGCGTGTCACGTGGGCCTGTTTATAAACACCCTGCGAGTGACCAGCCAGCATCCATGTGCTTTGAGTCTACCATTCTCTGTCTCGCGTTAGACCTTCAGCCCTTTCAACAAGTAGACAGAGTCATTCAGACTGTCTACTTAACAGACTTGTTTTCCACCTGAAGACGGCTGCTTGCGTTGTGGCCGAAACACTTGCCACCCACTGCGTGAGAATTATTTAATTATGTTTTATTTTTATTATTTTATTATTTTCCTTCTACGTGACTTTACCGAAAGAACCAAGAAGATGAACCCATTCAACATGCCTAGTGGGAAGAGGCTCTGGGGGTTATGAAGAAAATTATTCGGTGATGCTGCTGCTGCTGCTGCGATGGCAGTGGTGTATAAGCACAATCAACAACAACAACTCCTCAACACGTTCGCCAATGACAACATTGCGGCCTTACTACAATATATAAATAATACGCAAAAACTATCGTTCGTGAAATGTAATTTGTATTTTTTTGCACGTGCTATGAAAGTGTGCCCATTGCCCGAAACGTCACCTCTTATATTGTTTTCTTTCTTGAAAAGCCACAATGTATTCTTGACGAAAGTGTTGAGTTTAAAAAAAATATTTTATATTGATTTGATTTGAGATTGATTGATTATTATATTTAAAAAAATGTACACACGAAGAATGATCGGGCTTGGGTTTGGTGGCTCACGAACACACACACGTGCGTGGGGGTGTGTTGCCGCTCCAACGTGGGACCTTTTCGACAGTCTGAACAAACAATATAATAATGATATGTCCTTGGTTGTAGGCCAACGAGTTTCATTGACGGCGCATGTATTATCAGAACGTGTTTGTCGGCATGTTCACCACAAGTCTGTGGGGATAATGCAGACATGATTCCTTGCAAACGGTTTCTAATTGGTGTTTGAACATCTCAACACCTCTGTTTTAGTGCCAGAAAGGGTAAAACCTCTTCTTGTTTTTGTTCAGACCGCAGGGGTTTGTTTGCGGATTGCACTAAAAATTGTCTGGGAAACATCTGAGCGTTTAACACGGCGTGGAAAACAAGACGAGGTTTTACCCTTTCTGGCAAAAAAAGAAAAACAGGTTTTAAGATGTCCAAACACCAACTTCATTACCTTTTGATACTGGCAAAGTGAAGGCCCCCATGATATGTTTAACACGGTTGTTGTTGTTTTTTACAAATGTCCCATTACCCTTCCCTAGAAAAACCTTTCAAAGAAGGCAGGAGGGTGGAGGTGTGTGGGCCCATCTTGAAGGTGGAACACAAGACCTGCCGGACTGCGTAAGACCAATTAAAGAATACATATTTTTAAAATTCATGAATACTGAACTAATTCGGAGCTGTTCATTCGGAACTGGGCTTAGGGGGAAATTTCAGGATGAGGGGTGGTGGTGGGGAAAGTGGGAGAGTGGGAGAGTGGTAGTGTAGCGGCTAACGCGCTGCGCTACGAACCCGGCGACCTGAGTTCGATTCCCGCTCACGGCCAACACCGGTGACGATTATCTGAACCGGTCCTGGGCCTTTACTTCTAGGTTGACTCAGCCTCGAATTAATACCTTGTGCGGCGTGTACTGTCCACCCACCCCATCGTGTGCAGTGCAGCCTTCATGAGTGCTACTTGCTAACAGCACCTGCCCCAACAGTCTGTCGTGGCTATGCGGGGGATCTTTGTCTTTGGTTGTTCCGAGTTAGAGAGGGGAGGAGATGAGAGAAATGGGTCAGAAACATCGAGATTGTTTTGTATTGCTCCATAAGCTGCTCTCACTGTATGCAGCACAAAATATAGCCGGCATTAAAGGAATAGGTGGCCACACGTGTATATATATAAGGTATGGATTTGCATGAAGGCTCAATGATGATAGGAGAGATGGCAATGATGGTGATGACGTTTTCAATTATTTTGGCACGCAGGTGAACGGGGATTATGATGATGTTGTTAGTGTTTGTGACAATGTTAAACAATTCGAATGATTATTTATAAAGCTTCAGTTAGCGATAATGATGATGATGGTGACGATAACGACCGCACGATAATCTCGAATTTCTCGTGGTGTAAATAGCTCCACCTTGTCTGGCCCTTTGTGTTTTTGTGCTTTGAAGAAAAGCCGTCGCCTGACACGACACCTGTTATATGTTTTTACTTTTTTAAGGCCACGTGGATATTGACAAATGTGTTGTGCCATTATTTGCTTTTATTTGCTGGGCTTGTGCACCAATTGCCAACGCGGCAGCGGCAGCAGCAGCAGCATCACCCAATTATTTTCTTTAAATAGTTTGGTTTGTGGTTGCAGTTAGACGCTTCATGAATCCAAATTGCATTGCATGCTCATGCATACAAAAGTGGGCCCTACCTGCTGCTGCTGCTGTTGATGATCATGATGAAGACCACGAATGGTTCAGAAGAGATCAATCTCAGAGACTATAATGTCAATGATGACAATAGCCGTGGTGACCGTTCAAAGAGTGGCCTCGCCGACGAACGATCGCAATAATCTTGACGACGGTGAATTAAATCAAATCTGTAAAGGGTGAGCGAAAAAAAGCGACCAAAACAGAGTTATAGCGCAGGGATGGGAAACCGTGAGTTTAAAACCAGACGGACGACCAAATGTGTCAAAAAGCATACGCACATTTTACGAATTTTTTTTCTTGCGTCGCGTTCAATGCCAACGCTGCGGAAATTCGCTTAAGCCGCCGATGGTTCGACCCTCTTTTTTCCCTGCAACCGGATATCCAAAGGTAGACAACGCTGCTTCGTAAAGCCGCTGATAAATCGAATTTGCGGTGGTTAAACAAACCGGATGGCCAAGCAACTGTGCGAACCGGTGGCGTTGGCGAGGATGTGACGTTGACGGTGAGTCGGCGAGTCAGAGTGGCACCTCCATTCGCACGACGGTCGTGATGAATTATCGCACGAGAAGAAGAAGAAGCCATGACCCCATTGACGGCGATGCTAACGTCGCGCCGTGATCCGATAACGGTGGCGGCGGTGGTGGTGGTGATGGTTAATAGCCACTGCGGCTGCCCCCGTAAGCGCCTGTGGGGGGGGGGGGGCAGGAGGGGACAGCCCCCCCCCCTCACCCCTCCCACCTGCTTACAGCTCAGCCGCCTTTCTGAATCCTTATCTCTCTCTCGCAAGATGTGCCGTGTCCTTTCTCAAAGACGTCGGTGGTGATCGCGGCCTTCCTTCCGTGAAGCTGCTGTCCATGGCATTCGCTCAAGAGCTCTGCGTCGGATACTCCCAGTTACGGGAGGTTGCTCACGATGCTTTTGTAACTTAATTGGCCTTCTTCCATGGCTTCCCACGGCACCTATACTGTTCCCGGCCATAACACATTTACGTTCAATCCCCCGCTTTTCTCCGTTACGTGTCCAAGAAATCAAACAGCTTAGCGTTCTCCAATGAGTATTATGCAGCGCCTTTCTGTGCCTGCTATTCGTAATACAATTAATCATTCTAACCCCTTGTAGTCAAATAAAATACAAGACGAGTCCGGGTGCAATATTTAAACACCACCTCCTCCCATTGTGACGACTGCAGGCTCACAACGTCCATACACAAATCTGGCTGTCGCCTGATGAAGCTAGTGGTAATAACTGGCGAAACGTCGTACTCAAGATTGTAAATGTTGTTGCTTGGCTCTCCAACACACCGGTGTTGCTGTACTAGTGACGAATTGGCCACGTTCTGTTTACGTGACAAACCTTACTAGTTGGCTGTGTCGGGTGGTGGCGGGTTTAACGACACATTTATATATTTACGCAATCTAACCAAACAAACCTCTATTTTGGATGATATTGGTCGCGAAAGCCTCCTACGTGTTAAACTGACATACAAACCGTGTACAGTCGCCGGAAGGATCTGGACAGACGCAGGAGGTTGTTAGAAATAATGAGGATGGGCGGTCGCAGTGTATTCTGTGACTCTACGGTGCCCAGATGCTGACTACCTCGCCTGGTATACAGGAGGACCTGGGTTCGATCCCGAACCCTGACGCCTGCTGCTGTGTATTTAGAGTTTGTGTGTCTCTTTCCCAGTGGTCGCGTGGATTTTTCTCCGGGTCCTCCGGGTTTTCCCTCCACATTTAGAGACAAGCGTTTAGAGTCTTTGTGGCTGCTCGACATGTCCACGTGACAAACCAATAAATTGAGCTAACATTTGTGGCCAGGTCGCTTCCAAAAAGAAGATATAGAGCCCAGTGGGCCTTACCTGGTAAAATAAAATTTAAAAAATCGTAAATGCAAACGGGGCGAGAACGATAGCAGAATTGCACGATCGACAAAGCGGGTCGCACCGTGACTAACTAACTCTGCGTGTCTTCTTGGTTCTTTCGGTAAAGTCACGTAGAAGGGAAATAATAAAATAATAAAAATAATACATAATAAAATAATTCTCACGACGTTTCGGCCACAACGCAAGCAGCCGTGACTTTACCGAAAGAACCAAGAAGATGAATCCCTGCAGTCACGAAAGCTTTAAATCGAAATTTAACTCTGAGTGTTTAGCGTCTAACACGCGCGCTTTAAAGTTTGTTTTACACTGACGGTTTCGTGCCTTCACCTTGAAACAAGGTGACGCTCTCGGGCCGGACTGCCGTTGCGCGATATACGACACGTGGCGTTGTGTGATGCTGTGATGATGCTGTGTGACGCTCTCGTGACACCGTGTGATGTCTTTGTGTGTGTGGGGAGCGGTGGTGCAGTGGTTAGCGCTACGCTGCGCTACGAACCCGGCGGCACGAGTTCGATTCACGCTCACGGCCAACACCGGTGACGAGTATCTGAACCGGTTCTGGGCCTCTCCTAGGTCGACTCAGTCTCAAATGAGTACCTGGCGCAGTGTGTAAACATCGCCACTAGGGAGACAAAGGCTGCCGGGCGTGGTGTTGGCCACCCACCCTCCCCCCCCTCCCGTGTGCCGTTCTGGCCTTGATAGGTGCTCGCTAACAGCACTTGCCCCGACAGTCTGTTTTTGTCTCTGATGTTGTATGATGCTGTGTCATGTCTGTGACGCTGTGCGATGCTGTGTGGCACTGTGTGATATCGTGTGATGCTGTGTGGCATTGTGTGACGCTGTGTGCTATCGTGTGACGCTGTGTGATGCCTGTGACGCTGTGCGATGACGCAGGGAGCCCTTCACGATTTTCTCCGGCGGCCTGGTGGAGGGCAAGGCGAAGCGGAGCAGCCTCTCAGTGATGCATGGCAGGAACATCACCGTGCTCGAGATGGACTCCAACATCGTCGACTTCCTCACCTTGTGCGAGACGCCTTACCCCAGCGGTAAGCTCCCGTGACCTAATCAATGTACGACAGTCAAGGGACGGCATCGTACGTATGTTGAACGTCTTGTATTATGTTTCTATCTGCGTGACTTTACCGAAAGAACCAAAGAATATGAATTCCTGCGGTGACGAAAGTTTTGAGTCAAAATGCTTGCACGTATGTTGAACTTCTTGCACATATGTTGAGCTCCTAATCGGAGGCGAGCGACTCAACCGTGGCTCAGGTCTCAGGTTCGTGGACCGGGACCACGCTCAGAGGCGGCTGAGCCGGCTCGCCTGAGCCAGAGCCGAGCTTGAGGCGAGCCGCGGCAAAGAGTTTTGGTGCGAGTCTCCGTTCTCCAACGGGCAGATGGGGGGGGGGGGGGGGGGGGTGGTGGTGGTGCGTCTACTGAGCCCGTGGGAAGAATCCGTAGTTAATGAGCGAGTCGGCAAAGGGTTGTAGCGTTAATTTTGAAGACTTTTGCGACACCCGTGGAGTGCTTAAAATCAAAATCGACGGTCAAAGTGATTGTAATCACAATTGTGTGCGTGCGTACGCAAGTGATGGTAATTGGATATTAATGTGTACGCTTGCTTGTAGTCTCGGTTGGTCACAAGGCCATTCTCATTTATTGTAATTAGCCGCAAGTAATTCCAACCAATTCTCAGAAGGTCCCAAAAGGCCTCCCGAGCGTGAAGCTAAGCGCAGATCAGTCGCTTGGCGCTGCGGGTGATGAATCATTTACGCTGATCGATTGCAATCGCGCAGCATCGACGGCAATCGATTGGCGATGATTACACGTTCATCCACAAACATTCCGAGGCGCACGAGCCCTCAGCCAAGAGGACTCGGGGTTTTATTGCGTCAGCCGGCGAAGTCCCTCCAAACATGGAGGTGAGCGGCTCTCATTAAAATGGAACCATATCGCGAACAACCGCATCCAACGCCCGCTCCCTCCGGCGGCGGGGACCGAGCTGTATTTAGCCACGCGATTGCCAAAGCCACCGCGTGGTTTACAGACTTGAACGCGGACATCGAGCTGAGCGGCTCTCATTAAAATGGAACCATATCGTGAACAACCGCATCCAACGCCCGCTCCCTCCGGCGGCGGGGACCGAGCTGTATTTAGCCACTCGATTGCCAAAGCCACCACGTGGTTTACAGACTTGAACGCGGACATCGAGCTGAGCGGCTCTCATTAAAATGGAACCATATCGTGAACAACCGCATCCAACGCCCGCTCCCTCCGGCGGCGGGGACCGAGCTGTATTTAGCCGCGCGACTGTCAAAGCCACCGCCTTAGAACGCAGACTTGAACGCGGACGTGTGTTCGATGTGCACATACGTGCCATACGGCAGTGGCAGTCAGTTACGTGGACATCCGAGGGGAAACTGCGCAACACTAACGGGGAACAAGCGCCGACGAGAAATGGCGTCGGCCCGGCACGTGGCTGCCTTGTCCCTCGCTTGTCATCTGCGGCTCATGAGTCGTCCTCTCTCGCTCTCTGTCGCTGTCTCTGTGCAAGGACGAGCGAATGCCTGCACAGCGTTAGTGCGTTACACGTTGAAACGATCGCCGTTGATGAAAAATTAGAATGGGTTTTAACCTTTGTGGCAATAAAACATGAAGTGTTAAGATTTTCAAACACCAAATAGATACCTTTTGCAAGGAATCAAGTCTGCGTTATATCTATTGCAAGAAAGGGTAAACCCTATTCTTATTTTTCATCATTTACATCCTGGCAAACAGGTCCCATAGATATAACTGCTCGAACCGAGCTTAAAATGCTCTGAAACTGGCATTGTCTTCGCACTGTTCGCCTTCTGGCTTTCTCTGCTCTAACACTGGTGGTGAGACTAGGCCATAAAGAAGGCTGCTGTCTCTGGTGTAGGCTAATCAGTTTGTACATCTTAACACAGCTCCTGTTTTATTGCTAAAAAGGTATCCCATGGAAGATTATTTTACGTAAAAAAGTTATTTTATTATTGTTCTTTGGGTCTTTCGGTAAAGTCACGTAGATAGGTTCAAAAAAAATAACAAAAAAATAACAAAAAACTACGACATTTCGATCGCAACAGAAGCTTTCGTCATCAGGAAGAGGGAGTTAGCTTCTAAAAGTAAATTGTTTATAAAGGTTTGAAATGGGCGTAGCCCAAATGTCAGCAGCCAATGTTAATGTGAGTGGTGGGCAGCGACCGCGACAGTGGTGGGTTTTCCCACCAATGAAAGGGCTGCCCAGTAAAAATTAGCATGATAAAGTAAGATCTTTGAGAGGCCTTCACGGCGGGCGCCCTGACATTAACATAGCCACCACGCTCGCGGAACCCCAAGGGAGCGGCGGGCTTTTATTTTTTTTCCGCTCGCGTATCCCGGTTAAGTAGTTTCATTGACTTGATGGATTCGCTCCGTCGAGTTTGGCGGCCCGGCATGTTCAATCCGGCGCGTCGAACGGAGCCCTCTGACGTGCGCTCTCAGGTCGCGGAGGTAATTGATGCGCAGGGCTGATTGATCGATTGCATTGACGGCCGCTCGTGCATTGTCAACCTGTGGAAATGAAGGAGGCGTGCGGCTGTAAATTTCACTGATCGATGAATTAATGTCATGGATTTAATTGTCACGAGTCATTTGAACCTCGTTGGTGGCACGTCAACCTTGCTATGACTTGGGTCTCCCCTGAGCAAGAGACATTTTTAACGTATTAGTCGGCCCTCATCTGGATTCAATTTATGGAGCGACCGACTGCGTGCATCGCCAGTTGCAAGACGCAATGTGCAGACCTGAGCCTGGTCCACTCTGTCCATACAGTCAGTGCCACGTGAGTCAACATATTCACCGCAGCTACAGCAGCAGCAGCTACAGTAGCAGATAGAGCAGCAGCAGTAGCTACACAACAGCAGCTACAGCAGCAGCTAAAGCAGCAGCAGCTACAGCAGCAGCTACAATGACTACAGCATTAGCTACAGCAGCAGCTACAATGGCTACAGCAGTAGCTACAGCAGCAGTAGCAGCAGCAAAGCACAGAGCAGAGCCTCTCTTGTGCTGTCACTTTCCGCCCTCGGCTGCGGTGCCGCTCTCTGCACGCACGGGGTACCGCACCGTGCCCCCTTGACGCGGCTCGCTCAGCCGGGCACCGCCGTTGACTCTAAGGCTCGGCAAAGTGAGTTGGAGTTGATTTCACGGGCACCACCTCAAAGTAATGTCAACTCCGTTCGCTTGAACCGATACCCACGTTTTGAGATATTCGTTCAAGGGAATGCCACGATCACGGGACCTCCCTTGCCAGTATCAAGATATAAAAATAGGTTTGACCCTTTCTGGCAATGAAACAGGTGTGGGAAGATGTTAAAACACCAGACTGAAACCTTTTGCAAGGGAATAAAGTCTGTATTATATGTCAGCAGTACAGTATATGTGGTTAATGCAGACATGATTCCTTGCAAAAGGTTTCAGTTTGGTGTTTTAACAACCTAACACAACTGTTTTATATTCAGAAAGGTTAACACCTATTTTTATGGAATGTCACGAGTTAATCTTTTGTTATACATACGTCTCAACGCCCAAGCTTCTGTTTGGTCGCTCTGAACCTGAAACCGGGGGACAGCTTTCCATCACTCTGAAAAAATATATCCACCAGTGTCACGTAAATCATCGGCTCAACAGCATCCATTATACAGCGGCACCATATTTAGAATGTTATCCACGTAGGCCGTCCTTCAAGTCGGCCGCATGGATGACATTGGGAGGGTGCCGGATCTGAGTGGTGGATAGAAGAGCACAGTCACCTGGACTGTGCAATGACATCTAACCAAATTCTATTTTACGATGTGAGTCTACGGGTCTCTGTGTGAATCTACGGGTCTTTGTGTGAGTCTATGTACTCATCTCTATGTGAGTCTGCGGGTTTCTATGTGAATCTACTGGTTTCTATGTGAGTCTATGGGTCTATGTGCGTCAACGGGTCTCTATGTGACTATACGGGTCTCTATGTGAAGTCTACGGGTCTCTGTGTGAGTTTACGGGCATCAGTCGATCGAGGGAGTGAATTCCAGGCGACTGCAGGTGCGGTAGAGACTTACGGCATGACATTGACGAGGCAGGCTGGAGATTGCGATGATGGGATGTACGATGGAAGATAAAATCGGCCGGATTGCTCCATCACAGAACGGCGATGGCTTGGGTGGAGGCCTTCATCCTGCGTTGGACTGATAATTTCTGATTGATTGATGATCATGATATATTTATTTCAACAGGTTAAATTGCACTTCGGCAAAAGAGATCACCCGAGGCCAGTCTTGGCTGGGTAATGGGGAACATGACCGTGTTATGGTTGTCGCTGTCGTCATTGTTGTTGTCTTTGTTGTTGTTGTTGTTGTCGTGTTGTCATTCAGATTTCCAAGACCCTTACGCGGTGGTCGTGTTGCTTGAAAAGGACATGGTGGTGGTTGACCTCACGCAAAGCGGGTGAGAGATGTGCCACTGACAACACCGCGGCCACTGAATTGAAAACAATCTCGAGTGTCGTTGTGAATATTAATAAATGGATAGATAGATAAATACGTGGAAAAAAGCAGACAATTTGTAAAAAAGTCATTGTCTGCTCATTTATATTTCTCACAATGAGGCTCATGATTATTTTTGAGGTTGGTATGATACCATTTCGTGTTCAACTGGGACCCCCATAGTGCAAACAGATGGTCCTAGCGGGGATTCAAGTGAGCCTGACTCTGCTTATGAGACACTGCATGCTGAAACCGTAAACCGATCCAGAGTTTTTTTTATGTATTTTCATGTTGCGTCAGAAGTATGCGGGGACATTTTGTGCAATTAATTAATTGAGTGGCTTTTTGGCTCGATGCAGTATAATACTGTTTAATTTTACGTGGCGTCACCGTTCATGCAAATTGCATCTCACAATCGGTGAGGAACCACAGACGAGCCGAACGGCAGCAGCCGGGTGGCGAGCCAGTGCTACTAACAATTGCCAAAGCTCTGCAGTCCTCTACGTATCAAGATGTTTTCAGCCAATGAGTACTTACAAGTGGAAGGAAACTGGAGAATACGCACGTGGGAGCTCTTGCCTGGTTTTAAATAACGCTCACAATCCATGATTGCGTACCATTACTATTATAATTATTACTCCGCGAGACGACCGAGGTTTTGTGCTCCCAGGACAGTCCTGCCAATTTTTTTGAGAAGCAGCGGGCGATGTTGCTGATGCAGCTGCTGCTACTGTGTGTAATCTCATTTGAATAAATCGCAGCTAATTTCTTCAGCATTGGGATGCTTGGCCAATGCCAGTTTACGTTACACGTTCACTTAGCGTGCGTAAATTGTCCGATTTTTGTGATGCTAAATATTATTACACCCTTTTTTAAGGCGTTACGGATGAAGACCAATTTTCCCAAAGCGTGGCCTCGCATACATATTTACATCCCTTGAGGACCATGGTGCTATTGATGAATGTGTCGGAGTGGCTGTCATTTGTTCGATAAGATGCTGGTATTGGAGACTGCAGAGTAATGTAACTGAAAGTGGAGTCAGGAGAGATGATATGACCTTTGACCTTCAGACCTCACTGGCTCTTTGCTTCATTTTGGAGGAGCTGCTGACAGGCTTGGCTGTAGGCCAGACGTTTACCCTCAGTTGTGTCTGTAGTGACCTGAAATTTATCTTGAATAGTTTGTTATTAAAATGTCAAAGAGCGTTTATTAGTCATAAATGATGTGATGTAAACATTTGGCCAAATTACCCAGAATACTCCAAATCTCGTCAGATCTCGCTGATGTGAGAGTGGAGTGAGACACGCTGAATGACTGAACGTAGAGGCCCCGCTGGTGGCACAGGCAGCAGGAGGTCTTGTAGCTGGCCCTGCTGGTGATGGAGGGAAGCCAGTGGAGGAGGGAGTGGAGGCAGGAGATGTTGTAGCTGGCCCTGCTGGTGATGGAGGGAAGCCAGTGGGGGAGGGAGTGGAGAGAGGTGAGAAAATCTAGACGAGGATGACAGTCTCTGTGCACGATGTGGGTGACCAATTGTTCGGAGTTTCTTGAGGTGGCTAATGCTTGCATTCCGGTCGGTTGCAGCTACCCAATCTTTGAAAACCCCTACGCGATGGACATCCACGACTCGCCCGTCACGTTCTGCGAGTATTTTGCCGACTGCTCGGTGGAAATCATCCCGGCGCTGTATTCTGTAGGTGCCCGCCAGAAGAAGCAAGGCTTCAGCAAACAGGTCTCTCTTCGTACTACATCAGAAGCAACGTTTTCTGGCTGGATGCCTGCCTGCCTGCTTGGCGTGCACCAAAGTGCGCACGCGGCGGTGGTGACGTCGACATTTAAAAATTAGTTTCTGAGGAAAGTGGCCTGGGTGGCTCAGATAGCCCATGGGCCAGAGCAGAAATGGATATCACCCCAGTTGGCTAAACTTTATTCGTGCCCATGTATTTAGGTGGCTATTATTACGAGTTATCTATATGAATACCCACTCGTTTCAAATGCTCGCCACGTAATTTCACTGTTATTAGCCACATTAAGTAATTTGAACCAGTAAAGTGGTGCCACCTCTTGTGACACCAGCTAGTGAAATATCTGGTCTGGGCTCATGGACTCAAAGGTCATGGCACCTGAGACTGGACCGCTGAGATCCTGGCTTCAATTCCTGGCAGCTACCTGTCGTTAATTGGGGCTCTCAAGTGTAGCGAGTTGAAGGTCTCAGCGTGGTCACAAGTGACTCGCACAGCAACAAAAAATACGGCATCACCTTTGAAATCTGCTCTTAATTTGACCAAACTCCGCTCTTCATTTGGCTAAAATGCCAGCGCTGAGAATAAAAATTTGACTGTCACGCGACGAACCCCATTCTGACACGCAGAGCACGCGGGAACGTCCGACCGGCTGTTTCAGTGCGGTTATTGGAGGTGATAAATCAACAAACACAAGATTCTAAACGACATCAAACTCACACTGGTGCTGCTTCAGTAAACCACATGCCGGGGCAAGTCAATATTAATTAGCGAGCGTAAACATCGACACTGCTTTGTGGTAATGAATGTCAAATAGAAGGGATCATGGATTTGCATGTTAAATAACTGCGCGCAAAAAAAGAGAGTGCATTCAAAATTAGTTAAACAAGTGCATTATTACGATTATGTTGTTTGATTCACCAACATCATTGACGTTTTTTGGTTCTTTAAAGATACGAATGTTTTTATTTTAGTCACTCTCCCCAAACTTACTCCCCACTGCGCGCCGTCGTGGTCGCGAGACGGAGAATTCCCCCGGGAGCTGATTCGCGTGCTCGGTCCGAATGCGCGCGCGTCCGCGAGCCGAGTGAGGCCAACGGGTCACCCTGCCCCCCTGCCCCCCCTGCCCCCCTGCCCCCCTGCTTTAGGAGTGGCCCATTAGTGGCGGCAGCTGGGACATCGGAAACCAGAGCTACCCAGAGGTGATCATCACAGGGTGAGTGTGCGGGCCCCCTCTCTTTCCTACTCCTCTTCCTCCTCTCACTCCTTTCTTGGGCGCCACGGTGGCGAGATGTTAACTACCTCGCCTGGTATACAGGACGGCGTGGGTTCGATCCTGATCCCGACCCTGACGCCTGTTGTATATTTGGAGTTTGCACTTTCTCCCTGTGGTCGCGTGGATTTTTCTGCGGGTCGTCTGGTTTTTCCCCTCCATATTTAAAAACACGCGTTTAGAGTATCTGTGGCCGCTATTAATTTCCACGTGAGGATAAGTCACTTCGTTGAGCTATCATTTTGATAGCTAGGTCACTTCTGAAAAGAGCTATATTGCTCCAGTGGACCTTACCTGCTAAAATAAAAAAAACGTTTTTAGAGTTTTTAAGTTCACAGACACGAAACCCGCTAAACTGCTCGTGAGGTCCAGTCGTGATATCGCCGTCGTGATATCTCTGCATCGCTGCTGCCACTGTCACGTAAAATCAGTCGGTCACGTTGGCTCAAATGCATTTTCAAGGCGACCTGAGACAAAAAGACCACAATGCACTTCTTCAGAAAATGTTGTTTTGCATAACTTATAGGGACTGCGTGCTATTTACATGTCTCTCTGCGTTGTTGTTGTTGTTGTTTGAAACGTATGGTTTTCCGGCCAGCACTACTTCTCTGTTACAATTATGGGTTTGCTTGCTCTTCAGGGATTTGATTAGTGTTGGCACGAGCGAAGGTCATGGGTCCCATAGTGGGCGGAGTTGGGACTCCACAGGTATAGCTTCTAGGGGCAGGCGTTGGTGTCTGTGCTGATGACAATGAATCCAGTCCACAGTTGTCTATCACTGCATGGCTGCTGTCAATTGGTGAAATTTGCTCGAATTTATTTTGATGGTGACCTTAAATGTCAGGATCAGATTGGCTTTTTTTTTGCAGAAAGCACAAAGGGCTGTGCGCTTTAAACGCAGCTGAGCGAGTTTGTTTGGAACTCGTGATGGAAGGTCATTCCTTCCCTTTCGTTACCTTCAAGTGTTAATCAGGACACCCCCCTTTCGGCTTCTGTGTGTATTCACCTTTCCAATTCGCAATTAAAGACCTGTCTGGTTTTTTTTTAAAATTGCTGGCATGATTAATGTTGTTGAATTTCATATTCATGCCAAATATGTACGTGACACAGAAAACCCATCACAGCAGAAAACAATTACGCATGCTGGGAACAAAGAGTGGAGTATTGCACTTAGAAAAGCTCTTAGCCTTGACTCAGACATTCAGTTCTTTTGAGCTGGTAGTCTAGACAATGCTGAGAGCTCTTGTACAACTATTCTTCATTTCAATTTGGTTTGCCAACTCACACAGGACTAAAACGCCACACATTCGTCGATAATGTCGCCCTAGAAGCAATGTATTCATGTCGGAACGAAAGGCAACGTTTCAGGCAATGTCCCTTATTCAGAGCGCACGTGCTGCATCATTGACGAATGCGGTGAGGGCTGTTATTTTTTGCTTGTGCACCAACTGGCAAAAGCGGTGTCATCCAAAGAATTACTTTGCCTGAATTTGTCGATATTCCGACACATTCCGGTAAAATAACGTCGGTTCCAAATACTTCCCAGAGGGGACAAGGTGGGGGGGGGGAGGGGGGTTCAGGGTGGAGGGGGAGGCGGGGGGCGGGGCTGTCCTAAAAGGTCAAGCTTTAAAACACCCTACCACCACCCACCACCACCACCCACCACCCCACCACCACCACCCCACTACCACCCACCACCAACCCACCACCCCACCACCACCCCACCACCACCACCACCCCACCACCACCCACCACACCACCACCACCCCACCACCACCACCCACCCCACTACCACCCCACCACCACCCACCACCCCACCACCACCCCACCACCACCACCCCACTTTCACCGCACCACCACCCCACCACCCCACCCCACCACCATCCACAACCCCACCACCCCACTACCACCCCACCACGATCGCTGAAGCGCGTGGGTTGCCCTTCTGCCCACCGACGTATTGACAGAGGGGTGTAAATAAACACCGTAATGTATATTGAAAACATTCAACGAAAAGGTGACGGTGACGTTTCCAGAAGACTTACGGACGTCGCGAGGGACGTGGCGCTGCTGGAGCGACGGGGGTCGACCGGCGGCGCCTCTCGCCGCGCCATCCACCCCCTTCCCCGTGACCGAACGGTCAAAGTTACCGAGCGGTCAAACTTGTTGCAACCCCGGCACTGGACGCGCGTCCAAGTGGCCCCACTCGCGGGGAGAGTTTCGGGCTTGTTATTTATTTATTTATCTCCCCGCCCCCCCCCCCCCTCTCCCTCGCTCCATCCTAGGCACGCGGATGGCTCCCTCAAGTTCTGGGATGCTTCCGCCAGTAAGTGTTGCATCTCGTGCCACACCACCCCCACCCCCCACATCACTCTCTCTATGCAGTTGCGAGTCACAGACAGGTGGACGACTCACAGACAGCCTTCAGCGAGTCACAGACAGGTGGACGACTCACAAACAGTCTCCAGCGAGTCACAGAGAGGTGGACGACTCACAGACAGCCTTCAGCGAGTCACAGACAGGTGGACGACTCACAGACAGTCTCCAGCGAGTCACAGACAGGTGGACGACTCACAGACAGCCTTCAGCGAGTCACAGACAGGTGGACGACTCACAGACAGTCTCCAGCGAGTCACAGACAGGTGGACGACTCACAGACAGCCTCCAGCGAGTCACAGACAGGTGGACGACTCACAGACAGCCTCCAGTGAGTAGCTCCGCGTGAGGATGACTGCCCGTCGACAGCAAGCGATGCCGGAACCCGTCGTCGCTCGGACTCGAACGCCCAGTACCCGCGTATTAACCGAGCTTCTCGCGCTTATCCCCGTGTGTGCCCCACCCGCTCTCTACAACCGCCCCCCCCCCCCCAGTCACCCTGCAGCTGCTATACAAGCTCCGCACAGCCAAGATTTTTGAACGACCCGTGGCGGCCGGGGTCGCAGTTCGGGACGGCGGCAAGGGTGGCGGTGGCGGCAGCGGCGGCAGCGGCGGCAGCGGCGTGCCGTCGCCTGCCCCGGCGGCGGTGGCGGTGGCGCTGGACGAGCCGGAGGACCCATTCGCCGTCCAGCTGCTGGCCTGGTGCCCCGAGAGCCGCATGCTGTGCGTCGCCGGCGCGTCGTCACACGTCGTCTTCTACCGATTCAGCCGTCAGGAGGCCGTCGGAGAGATCGCGGTACGAGAGACTCGCGCGCTCGCCCTCGCACGCTGCCGTTGAACTCGTTTGGGGCCTCCTTGATGTGGGGCGCCGTGCCCACGGGTTCCACGTGAGTGTCAGCGCCAGTTCCGGGTTATCCTCGTAGCACAAGTAGCTACATGTGTAGTAGCTGCAAAACGTGTAGTAGCTACACGTGTAGTAGCTACACGTGTAGTAGCTTCACGTGTAGTAGCTACACGTGTAGTAGCTAATTTTGTAGTAGCTACACGTGTAGTAGCTGCACATGTAGTAGCTGCATATGTAGTAGCTACTTATGTAGTAGCTACACGTGTAGTAGCTACTTATGTAGTAGCTACACGTGTAGTAGCTGCACATGTAGTAGCTGCATATGTAGTAGCTACTTATGTAGTAGCTGCACGTGTAGTAGCTACTTATGTAGTAGCTACACGTGTAGTAGCTGCACATGTAGTAGCTGCATATGTATTAGCTACTTATGTAGTAGCTACACGTGTAGTAGCTACTTATTTAGTAGCTACATATGATGCTACGGGCCCTGCACTTTCAAGGGCCCCGCGCTAAATGCTTTCAAGCTATCAATTCCAGTTCAGTGATTCTGCACTTGCTCTACTACTATAGTACTATACCGCCTTCAACTTTTATGAATGACTGGGTGTTTCAGTTTAGCGATTTGTCGTATTATCTGGCTGTATAGCGAATAAAAAAATACAACTACTTTACTATGTAAGTAAAAAATGTGTGTTTTTTTTAATTTAGAGCCCCTTAATAACATTGGCTACAAGCCCCGCGCACTGGTAAGCACGTGTTTCTCTTGTTTTCCTACCCCCCCCACCCTCACCACTGCAAAATATTCCACCCGGACAAATGTCTCGGTGTCTTTGAACAAAAAAGACTGCGAGTGTTGAGCACTTTGCTGAATTATTCATTGCATCCGCACGGTGAATCTGTCCAGTGATAGAATGTGTGCCCCCCCCTCCTCCCACACCGAGGTTTCACATTTAGGGGGAGCACAGAGAAGCGTAAACGTTGAGACGTATATATTTTTTTATAAACTCATGACATTCCCTTGCACGAATGTGAGTCCAGGTGCTCTGTGCTCCACCACCCACCGCCCAGATCCGGCACCCTCCCAATGCCATCCGTACGGCCGACTTGAAGGACGGCTTACGTGGAAAACATTCTAAATATGGTGCCGCTGTATAATGGATGCTGTTGGGCCGATGATTTACGTGACACTGTTAGATATATTTTTTCAGAGTGATGGAAAGCTGCCCCCCGGTTTCACGTTCAGGGCGAGCACACAGAAGCCTAAACGTTGAGACGTATTTACAAACAAAAACAAAACAAAAACTCGTGACATTCCCTGGAGCGAATATCTCTAAATGTGGGTATCGGTTCAAGCGAAGGGCGTTGACATTACTTTGAGGCGGTGTCCGTGAAATCAACTCCAACTCACTTTGTCGAGCCCTCCGATTTGCAGTCAACGGTGGTGCCCGGCTGAGCGAGCCGCATGAAAGAGTCGAGGCCGCGTCAAGGGGGCTCGGTGCGGCAGAGGTCGCAACCGGGTACCCGATACCCGTACCCTACCCGATACCCGGCTACCCGTACCCGGCCGGGTACTGGTACCCATTTGCGACCCGGTGCGGCCGGGTACAGGTAGGGGTAAGGAATCAAAACCCGTTTGCGACCTCTGCGGTGCGGTACCCCGTGCGTGCAAAGAGCGGCACCGCAGCCAAGGGCGGGGAAGTGACAGCACAGGAGAAGCTCTGCTCTGTGCTTTTGTAATTAAGGACTCTCTCTCAGATGTCGATCTCCGTTGTCCTTTATTGGGTTCGTAGAATCTCGTTACCACGGCGTCCTCGCTCAGGCCCGCGTCCCTCCCGTCGATCTCTCCACAGCCACTCGGCTGCTCCGATATGCAGTCTCCCTGCTGCTCCGATATGCAGTCTCCCTGCTGCTCCGTTAGGCAGTCTCCCTGCTGCTCCACCTTGCAGTCACACCGCTGCTCCGCTCTCTAGATTCACTGCTGCCCCGTATACAGCTAGCCTCCCACAGCCGCTAGCTCTCTGCGTCTGACACCGATGGCTGACGGTGTCGACGTCTCCCACCGCGTGGCGACCGCGCCACTCTCTCCGTCCTGCCCAGCGTGGCCTCCTCCTGTTTCACTCCGTCTCAACTCCCCTTTCCTCTTCCGGTTCTCCCCCTAAATCCTCTCTCCCACGTGACCCTAACTCCGCCCACTCCCCACGTGACCCAGACTCCGCCCCCCCTCAATCCTTGCTCGCATTACACTTTGCTGCTGCTGCTGTAGCTACTGCTATAGCCATTGCAGCTACTGCTGTAGCTACTGCTGTAGCTGCTGTAGCTGCTGCTGTAGCTACTGCTGTAGCTACTGCTGAAGCTGCTGCTGTAGCCATTGTAGCTGCTGCTGTAGGTGCTGTAGCTACTGCTGAAGCTGCTGTAGCTACTGCTGAAGCTGCTGCTGCTGTAGCTCCTGTAACCACTGCTGTAGCTACTGCTGTAGCTGCTGTAGCTGCTGCTGTAGCTACTGCTGAAGCTGCTGCTGTAGCTCCTGTAACCACTGCTGTAGCTACTTCTGTAGATGCTGTTGCCATAGCTACTGCGGCTGCTGCTACTGCTGCTGCAGCTGCTGCTACTGCTGTAGCTATTGTAGCTACTGCTGCTGTAGTTACTGCTACTGTTGCTGCTGTGGCTGTAGCTGCAGTAAATAGTTTGACTCCCGTTTTTGGAATTCTGTGTCTCAGTGTGCCTGACTGTTTGAGCCTAGTGAATCCAGTCTGGTCTGGACAGCGCATTTCGAAACTGGTGATCCAGGCGGTCTGCCGGTCCTTAATTTCAAACCGTGTGAGAGCCGATTAAGACTTAAAAAATGTCTCTCGTTCAGGGGAGACCTGAGTCTCAACAAGGTTGATGTGCCACCACCACTACAACGAGGTTCAAATGACTCGTGACAATTAAATCAATGACGTGAATTCATCGATCAGTGAAATTTCACTGCCACATTAGTATGATAATGCCTCTTTCATTTCCACAGGTTGAAAATTGCTCAACCACCCATCACTGCAGTCGATCAATCAATCTGTGCATCAATTAACTTCACAACCAGACAGAGGCACGTTCGGAGGCTCCATCGGACGTGCAGATTGGAAATACGAGAGCCATCAGTCGATTAAATGAATCCATCAAGTCAATGAGCTGTTCAACCAGATGCAAAAAACATGATTTTCCTCTGGCTCGTGGGCTAAAAATACTCCACAGCAATCAATTAAATCAACACCAATCAATTAAATTGATCAGTCAATTAAATCTCATTTCGAGCCACAAACGTTTTAAAATTTAATAAGTGAACGGTTATAGGCGATTGCGACCCATGCAAAATAAGCTCCCGTAATTTGTTCATCATCTGTTCATAAGGACTGCATTAATTTTCAACGAAAAACCGCAGCTGAGGCCTTGTGGCCCTGGGGCCAGTCCCAGGCCTTCAGATGGAATGGGGGAGCATTATCAAATTGAAAAGCATTTTATATACTTATATATTTATTTAAATCCCGAAGCAGATGGATGCTCATAAATAGCACCCTCAGATATCCCCTTTCTCTCCGTGCCGCCGCCTCTGCTTGGCGCTGAGCGTTTCCGACATCTGCGCCTTGATTTTTACTTCCACTCGAGGTGATTTCCTCGTCGTGGATAGTTCACGACCGTCGAGACGTGAACACGATGAGCCTTGTCTGTCTTTCTCCCTTCTTCTTCTTCATCAACCGCGTGCGACACCGCTGGCTACGGCACGCGACGTCCCGCTAATGGTTAAAGAATCCCGTAGTATTCACCATGAAGCAATTTTTATTTTCTCTAAAAAATGCAAAAAAATGTTTTTTGTCAATTTGTTGGGTTGTCTCCAGGGCAAGTCTCTGTAATAGCAACACAACTTCATGCTATACATGTCCATGTGATGGGCCACTTTGTTGAGCTATCTTTTGTGGTAGCCAGGTGGCTTCTGAAAAATAAGTTCAAATCTCAGTGTGCTTTGGCCTGGTAGGATGAGGATGGTTTAGTTATATTTGTTTGTGTTGGGAGATTTGTTTACCTTTCTTGTACTTTGCACGGCTATCGTGTTTCTGTACTGTTTGTTGTTGTAACGTTCTTATCAGCCGCTACTGGACATCTGCGAACAAAGAGCTTTACAGCTCATCCGATTCCTTCAGGATGAATAAATATTCTGATTCTCATTAATTGACACCACTCCTTTGCGTTCACGTTGACCCATTCTGCTCAATGGCAATGCACCTCCGGTGAGCACGGCTGGCTACATACGGTGCGAAAGAAGTTCAACATACGTACGGTTCAACATACAACGCATCATGAGTTTGCGTACAGTTTTTTTTGGGCGTTGAATGGGTCCCTCATAATTTATACGGAGCGATCTTTGCCAATAACATTTGGTGACCCAGACGCATTTGTTAAACAAGCCTGACTGCTGACGAGACCCAGAATATCGAACCGGTCCAGGTTTTTTTTCTCTCTCTCTCTCTCGTTTGCTTAAACAAATCCTGCTGTGCGGCATCGGAGTGGGAAAGCCAATAGGCGCATTAGTGTGCCCGCAGTGAGGCGATGATCGCTGCTCCGTCTGTGTGTACAATCCCAATTGAGTAATTTGCTGGGCGATTTTCTAATTTGGCGAATTTTGGGTTCCTGACCGCCGGCACGCGATCCGTTCCTCTTGCTGAACGACGTCACGGGGCATCTTGAACGTCCGCCGTGAAGTGGGCGGCGTAGTAGAATTACAATGAATACACGCTGCGGTATTAACCGGGGCGGCTTCTGGAAGCCGAACCGTGAGTCTCTACAGCAGGCGGCGAACTTGGCTACCGCCGAGCCATTTCCAAGGCACGTTAGACCCCATTCCCGTTGTGAGACGTCTGCAAGTTGCGGGGTGTTGGCTGTCCCGTTCACCGCTGATTCTGGGAGCGCGCGAGCAGCTTGGTGTTGATTTATTCAGCGGAGGCGTAGGCAGCGCCGTTGTTTTTAAAGACGTCGTTACTCACCGCAGAGAACCGTAGCGACACGACCGCCATCACTCTACGAAAGCAGGCGCCAAACTGTGCCGCACGACCTGCCGCGTGGCCTTGTGGGAGCCTCGGTAAGTGATAACGTAATTTTAGAGTGTTTCTTACGATTCCATCCCGAAAACTGGAAAATTCTGAAGCTGCACAAGGGAGAGAGAAGCGAAAATAGAATGCCTCCGATTGAACGGGGCAGTAAATCCCTAAATTTTAACGACATTCGTAGGGATGTGCATCAATGTCTATGTTTTACACCGTGCTATGCAGCGACGTCTACCGTGTTCGCCTTCACGACCCGCATTGACCAGAGCGGTGAAGTATGGTTAAACAATCCCCACGTCCCGCACAGCGCAGGGAGGTTCCTCATCCAGCAGTGGATTGACAAAAAGTCTGCACGCCTACGGACGTGCAAATCGCAGCGCGAAATAAGCAAAGCAATTTCCCAATGCATTGTAACATTTGTTACAAGCAAAGGTCTCGTAATAAAAATAAAAAATATTGGTTTGATAACCACGGGACATTTCATTACGTACGCATGCAGCCTGAACAAGAATCGCAACGCATTACAACACAACGGCATTTTCCCATGTCACCAAGCTGCGCTTCAGCCGCGCTTCAGCCGCGCGTTTTTTTTGTTTGCACACAAAGCTGAAGCATTTTGACAGCTAATTATATGATAGCAATTTTTTGACAAAAGAGCGCAATTCGTGCGGCGTCCAAGCGGAGATTTGCCACTGACTCTTTATTCACAAAGATCCAGAGACTCATAAAGAACCACAGAGACCCACAGAGACCCATACTCAACGGTGTGTGTGTGCGATGTACGTTGAACTTTTTTCTCACCGTACGTAGCCAACCGTGCTAATCGGAGGTGCGGGGGGGGGGGGACAACAATAATCTAAACACGAAAAGGAGTTCAAAGAAATTTAGTTTTCAACCTACAAGGACCAAACAGTCTGCCTGGCGGCTGCAGGTGCTGGAGGTGAGGATGCAGCCGGAGCCAGAGGGAGCCGAAACTCCCGATCCTGACGCGGTGATATCGACCGTCTCCTCCTCGTTGTCATCATCGTCCACGACTGCTGTCGCTGCTGCTTCGGGTGCCGCCACCTCCTCCTCCACCTTCCCTTCCTCATCGCTTCCGCCCCCCCCGGCGCCGTCCGGACCCGGCCCGGGCCTCCCGGCGTCGTCATCGCAGCTGCCGTACCCACGCGGGCACCCGTCCAGCGCCAGCACCGGCTCGGGCGATGGGGCAGTGCCGTCCCTCAGGTGCGAGATGTTAACCCCCTCGACTGGTCGTGGGGTCAATCCCAACTCTGACGACGGCTGTATATGTTTTGGAGGTTGCACGTTCTTCCCCATGGTCGCGTGGATTTTCCTCTGGGTCCTCCGCTTCCCCCCCCCCTCCTCCACATTTAGAATATTGCCTTTGGAGAACTTGACTGCGTAAATTTCCACGCGATCGGCCACTCTCATTTGCGGCCAGCTCGCTTCTGAAAAAGAGCCATACAGCTCGGTGGGCCTTACCTGGTAAAATAAAAAAAAATAGATTTTAGCTTAGTTCTAGCTGACCCCACGTGTGCATTTCTACGAAAATCTGGCGGTTTACTGACAAACCCACAATAGACCCCCCCCCCTCCCCAGGCCTATGCATGCTCAGCAAAGCGACACCCTACTCCGGTATCCTAAACCCGAGCAACTTTCAATCTCTCGCGCGTGCGCTCTGTCCGTGGCGTTTCAGACCCTCTTCGGACCACGCTCCCCAAAAAAAACCGATAGGCTCGCCGAGTAATCTGGCCAAAGCGGGAGTCACGTTCTGTTGCTGCTGCTGCTGATGCTGCTGTTGCTGCTGCTGCTGTTGCTGCTGCTGATGTTGCTGCTGTTGCTGCTGCTGTTACTGCTGCTGCTGTTGCTGCTGCTGCTGTTGCTGCTGCTGCTGTTGCTGCTGCTGCTGCTGTTGCTGCTGCTGTTGCTGCTGCTGCTACTGTTGCTGCTGCTGCTGTTGCTGCTGTTGCTGCTGCTGTTGCTGCTGCTGTTGCTGCTGCTACTGTTGCTGCTGTTGCTGCTGCTGTTGCTGCTGCTGTTGCTGCTGCTGCTACTGTTGCTGCTGCTACTGTTGCTGCTGTTGCTGCTGCTGTTGCTGCTGCTGTTGCTGCTGCTGCTGCTGTTGCTGCTGCTGCGTGTGCTCGCCGTTCCTTGGCCAGGGTGAAGAGCGAGGCTGTGCGCCAGTGGCCGGGCTACCAGGCGGAGCTGGTCGTGCAGCTGGTGTGGGCCGACGGGGAGACCTCACAGCTGCCCACCAGCTTGGAGGTCAGCTCCGCCTATGGCCTGTGAGTACCCCCAGGGGACATGGAGAGATGATCATCATCATAATAACAAGTATTAATATTTACTCGTTATTTTTTTTTCTCTCTGTAATACCCCGCGGGAGAATCGAAAACGGCAGCCACAACGAGAGGGGGGGGTTCGCTTTCAGAATTAAATTTGGTCATGTTTTTTTTTTTGCGTTTTCCTTATGAAATTTCTCCTCCTCTCCCGTTGCTTTCGACGAATTCCCAGCGGTGGCCACTTAGCGGAGGTGAAATAAATCTTCAGGTAAACACAACAGGCCGGCCTGGATTTATTATTATTATTTCCCCCCTTAAAATAGTCTCACAACAGGGTCGATAGCAGGCGCCGGCTCGCGTGTAAACGCCTGGAGGTTTGGACCAGGAGCAACGTTGTGAAGAAGGACTGATGAGAGAGAAACGGGATGCATAATCCCTCCTCGCTTATTGAATCCTTCTCAATGTACACGCGTAGGCTTTTCCCTACGGTGCACTCTTGGTTTCTTCGTACGCGCGAGAAAAAATTCGACTCGATAAGGAATTGGCCGAACATTTCGAGCAGGACTCTGCTCTGTGGGGCGTTTGTGTTGCGACGCAGAAAGATTGCAATTGTTTAGGCTCACCTTTCGAATTAAGAGGTATGTGTGTATTGCGTTTATAGCGTGCGTGCGTGATTGTGTGCGTGTGTGATTGATTGTTGTGAGGAGCGGTAGTGTAGTGGTTAGCGCGCTGCACTACGAACTTGGCGACCCGGGTTCGATTCCCGCTCACGGCAAACACCAGTAACGATTATCTGAACCGGTCCTGGGCCTCCCCTAGGTCGACTCAGCCTCAAATGAGTACCTGGCGCGGTGTGTAAACATCGCTGCTAGGGAGACAAAGGCGGTCGGGCGTGGTGCTGGCCCACCCACCCTCTCGTGTACCGTTCCGGCCTTCATAGGTGCTCGCTAACAGCACTTGCCACTACAGTCTGTTAAGGCTATACGGGGGATCTTTGTCTTTATCTTTGTGTGTGATTGTGCGTGTGTGTCATTGTGCGCATGCATGATTGTGTGCCTGTGCATGTGGGGAGTGGTGGTGCAGCGGTTGGTAGCTCTGCGCTATGAACACGGTGACTCGAGTTTCCATTTCTGCTCACGGCCGTCACCAGTGACGATTATCTGAACCGGTACTGGACCTCCCCTAGGTAGACTCAGCCTCAAATGAGCACATGGTGCAGTGTGGAAACATCGTCACTGGGGAGACAAAGGCGGCCGGGCGTGGTGCTGGCCACCCACGACCTTATGTGCTGGTGGATCTTTTCCAACGTATCTTTGCGTGTAAGTTATTTTCGTTTATTTATTGCAACGTTGGCCCGAGCGCTCCACAAAGCCTAGGGCCTTGGGCAGTGACAGAATGTGCCGACTAACCCCGCCCGGCCGCCTTTGTCACTGGGGAGACAAAGGCGGCCGGGCGTGATGCTGACCACCGACCCCCTCGTGCGCCGTGTCGGCCTTCGTAGGTGCTCGCGAACAGCACTTGCTCCTGAGATGTGCTAAGGCCACACGTGGGATCTTTGTCTCTGTCTGTGTGTGCCGCTGCCATGCAGGGTGGCGCTGGGCACTTGCAGTGGCCTCGTGGTGGTGGACGTCCTGCAGAGGAGCATTCTTCTCAGCCTGAGCTGCCTCGACCTCTACGGCTCCAGTGACCCCTACCAGAGACAACCCAAGTCTCCACGCAAGAGCAAGCAGCTGGCTGCTGGTGGGATACCTTCACCGGCACACGCTGTGTGTCTCGGTAACCACGCAGGCAGTCTGGGCAAGAGTTAAGCTGTGTACGGGACGTGCGTGCGCTCCGGTAATTCTGCAGCTACTCTAGTTGCTCGTCTGTTGGATGGATTTACGTAAACCAGCGCCCTTGGACGCTGCGTGCTTGACGCGAGGCCCTCATTCTCTCATCGTTTTTGATTCCTCACCATTGTTTGACTCTTACTTTGCATGCCAACGGACTTAATTCTTCAGGCACGTCAGCCACTGTCATCGTTATTAAGTTGTTCATTAAATCACGTACGCGTGAACCACTTATGTATGTAATTATGTAGGTGTGATTAAAACGTATAATGGTAATACTAAGTGATTTAAATGCAGTGTGCCAGACATCCTGCAAGAGCAAACACGCTCTCCCCCACTATTAGACTGTCTTTGAGAGGGTTTTTCTTGAACCAATAATTATTTTAATTCCAATACAATAATAGTAATCAACCAGTCATGCACACTCTCCAGAAAGACAAATATTTCCGCGTATCGCCTTAATAGACTTCTTCGGCAAGCGCTGTTAGCGAGTAGCACCTATGAAGGCTGGCATGGTACACCAGGGGATGGGTGGTCAGCACCACGCCCGGCCGCCTTTGTCTCTCCCGTGGCGATGTTTTTACACACTGCACCAGGCATTCATTTGAGGCTGAGTCGACCTAGGGGAGGCCCAGGACCGGTGCATATAATCGCCGCTGGCTTTGACCGCGAGCGGGAATCGAACCCGGGTGGCTGTGTTTGTATTACAGCGCTCTCACCACTACACTACCGCTTCCCACCAAAGATGACAAAGACAAAGATCCCCCATATAGCCTTACCAGACTATAGGGGCAAGTGCTGTTAGCGAGCACCTATGAAGGCCGGAACGGCACACGAGGTGTTGGGTGGCCAGCACCACGCCCGACCGCCTTTGTCTCCCCAGTGGCGATGTTTTACACACCGCACCAGGTACTCATCTGCTGAGGTCTGCCCAGACATGTTTTGACGTGGGCAGAGATCGCGTGCCTTGGAATGGCCTGCCGGAGGATCTGAGGGCATTAGAATCGGCGAATGTTTTTGTTAAACGACATCTTTGAAACGTAACCTTTTCAAAATGGTTCTTTATTCGGATGCCCCGATTGTGTGCGTATTATGCTTTTTTCTAATTATTATACTGAATTCACTATAATGTCACGTCTTTCTTTAACGTATCAATCTTATCGTTGTTAGACATGCAGCAGTCGCTTTAAAATGTTCTTGTAAGAGGACTTTGCATACTCTTAGTTTTTTTCGGTAAAGTCACGTAGGTAAAACATAAAATTAAAATTTATAAAATAAAATAATAATTTAAATGCAAATTTTTACCTACGTGACTTTACCGAAAAAACTAAGAGTATGAATCCTTGCAGTCACGAAAGCTTCAAATCTAGAAGCACTTTGCATTTGCATGCAATGCACGTCAGTTTGCTAGATCCACGTGCACAACATTTGATTTCACTTCCCAACGACACCCACCGGATGTGGTGGACAACCACTGCGTGACACCGATTAACGGCAGGTAAAAACACGCCCCTCCCCCTCTGCTTGTTTACTTAACGGGGCCCGAGAGGGGATTGGTTCGAGGCAGGGCAGTCGAAGGGGATTGTAGGTGGCAGTACAACAGTGGATACGAGCGGGAAACGTGAGGATGATCGACGGGGTGGGACGGTTGCAATCCGTTCGCAAAAGTGTGGGAAGGTGAGTGGCTGGAGGGAAAGCGGAAGGTCACGGAACTTTCGGGCAAGGGGCTTGAGGCATACAAGTGTGGGAAGCGAGAGAGTTCGGGACGCTTGGAGCGAAGGGGATCCTTTAAGATCACCGTGTGTGTGCCTCGTGCTGGAAGAAACAAAGACTCCTGCTGCTGAAGACTACTTGTGTCGGGTGTCAGTACACGTGCCACCCAAAGCTGCCCCTTTGCTAATTGCCCCGTATTTTGTTGTCATCGCCGTCATGTGCCGCCGTGACTCACACACACACACGCGCGCGCTCGCGCGTCATCGCGTGTTGGGGTTTTCTTTTTTTGTGCCCAGAGCGAGCGGAACGTCTTCGCGATGCGTCGGCGTAATTGGGGTGACAGGTGTGCAGATCTCTCCGCACTTGGGAGATATTCTTGGTGCCTCCCACGGCTGTAAGCCCGAAGGCATTCTACCTGATCACCCCCCCCCTCCCCCATCGCTCCCCACCTGCCCTGCAGCTAAGGTGGCAGGGTGGCGGTAGTCGTCACGCTAATTGTGTCTCACAGTACAGGTGAAAGACGGAACGGGTGAGAGCATGGACAGGTGGGAGCCTGGACAGGTGATAGCTTGAACAGATGGGAGCCTGAACATGTGAGGGTCTAGACAGGTGAGAACCTGGACAGGTGATAGCTTGAACAGGTGATAGCTTGAACAGGTAGGAGCCTGAACAGATGAGAACCTGGATAGGTGAGGGGCTGAACAAGTAAACAGCCTGGACAGGTGAGAGCCTGAATAGGTGTGAGCCTTAAGCTGCTGCTTGAAGTTGGTTGATGGTGCTTGGATGCTGCTGCTGCGCATGTGCAGCAGTGACAGAGAGAGAGTTCCAGACGGCTGCTGGTGGTGCAGCTACAGAAAAATCCGCCCCTCTCAGCCGTAGGGGACGGCCCCGGTCGTGCAGGGTACGATGAGCAGCAGCAGCAGTTCGAAAGATGAACTGCGTAGGACACGGCGATTTGCCCGTGGTTCATTGGGGAGTGACAAGGGTGGAGGAGAGGTGAGGTAGAGAGACCTTAGAGAGAGAGAGCACGATGGCACAGAGGATAGCGATGTTGTACTTGCTACTCCTTGAGTGTATGGGGAACCAGTAGAGGGATTTCTAGCGGAGCCATTGAAGCCGAATGGTCGGCACATCCATAGTTCGTTGTCCGAACCACACGTGGGTGGGCGGGGGGCATCGTTCTCAGCGATTCTAACCCTCCGCGGGTCACCATTGACAAGCGTCACCCATGGCCGGTCGCAAAAACGGCAATATTTTTTAAATCTTACCCTGATATCTTCTCAGAGCTCTCCTTGCCTTTCATCCCGTAGATTGCATCGTCGCTTGCTGTTTGTCCATCCCAGGCTGCGTAACTGAAGACGTTTTCGCAACTTAAGACGTCTTCGCAACTGAAGACGTTTTCGCAACTGAAGACGTTTTCGCAACTGAAGATGTCCTCGCAACTGAAGACGTCTTCGCAACGGAAGACGTCTTTGCAACGGTTAAACCTGCCGGTTATATCTGCGGGCGAGCGGGCGGGCGGATCGATTTGCGTCGTGGGTCAACCCGTGATGAGCACGGTCGGCTACGTATGGCGCGGAAGAAGTCCCACGATGTCATTAGGCGCGCGCACGCCGGGCTCATTGCTGGGCGGCTCCTCACTTTGCCGTGGGGGTCGAAAAAGAAACGACGGCGCACCGCACATCTTCACCACCACCCCCTAACCTCCCCCCCCCCCCTTGCTGTTTTTTTCACCTCGACATAACCCTGCCACCCACGCACCCCGGAATCTAATCAAAGCGTCAGACTGCGCTTCTGAAATCGCTTCAGTCGGGCTCGCGCACCCAAAGGAAACTTGGGTGATCCAGCCGTCAGACAAAACCCGTACAAATTTTTAATTTTAATTGATTTATTTCTGTTCCATCCGTGCGTGTGTGTGTGTCTCGTATTTGATTTCTCAGACCTTCTCTGCCTCAGAAATGTGAGGCAGTTACATTGTTGTTGTTTTTAAACGACCGCGAATGGCTGGCTCTGTGGATTGTGCCATGGGGCTCACAAGGACAACGCTTCCCACAATGCAATGTGCCAGCAACATTTTGTCATTTTAATATGAATGAGTGGATGTATTCGTAATACTTTTTCATTCGTGAACGGGTTTGTCTGTTACTCGTGAACTCCTATAAAGTACATATTCATATGTCCAGTTAACCCTTTCCCGTTCCCAGGCATCTGCAAGTTTGCAGGGTGGGTGTCCGTTTAATACGAAAGCGGTTAGCGTTAATTTTATTTCGAGAGGCGTAGCGTCGTTGTTTTTTTTTTAAATACATCGTTACTCAACGCGGAAAACTGTAGCGACACGACCGCTGGCGGCCAAACTGTGCCACACGCCCCTCCCGCCTGGCCTTGCGGGAGCCTCGGTACTGATGAAAAATGTATTTCTTTTAGTGTTTCTTTCTGAGTACCTTTCAAAAAAATGGTACTCGGAAAACAATTTTAAAAGGTAATTCTCATCAGGCCGCGTCGCGTGTTACAGAGTGCCGGGCAACCATGACGCCCGCGGGTGGCAGCATCCACTTCGGGAAGGAGGGGGGGGGATTGAGCAAAAAAAATTCCCCTGAATTGTTCTTCGGTCCGATTGCCCCCCCCCCCGCCACCCTCCCCTCACTCCCCCCTCCCACTCTCCCCCCGCCCCCACCCCCCAGGCCTGGCTGACATCACAGAGGGCATCGGGGCCCCGGACACAGAGAGGAGCCGCTCGCCAAGTTCAGGTGAGAAAGCTCCGACGTGACACGGCCTCCGGGCCACGTTGGCAGCCGAACGCCGTCTGTACACACGCACACAGACACACACACACACGCAAAGATCCCCCGTGTAGCCTTAACAGACTATAGGGGCAAGTGCTGTGAGCGAGCACCAATGAAGGCCGGAACGTTACACGGGTGGGTGGGTGGCCAGCACCACGCCCGGCCGCCTTTGTCTCCCCAGTGGCGATATTTTCACACACCGCACCAGGTAATCATTTGAGGCAGAGTCGACCTAGGGGAGGCCCAGGACCGGTTCAAATAATCGGTGTTGGCCGTGAGCAGGAATCGAACCCGGGTCGCCGGTTTCGCAGTGCGCTAACAGCTACACTACCGCTTCCCCAGACACACACACACAGACACACACACGGACACACACACACGGACACACACACACGGACACACGCACGCACTTGTGTTGCACGGCACACCCGCCCCCCCCTAGAGCCCCCCACGTCCGCCCCACCACCCCCCCTCAAAAAAGAAAGCAGTCGTTGTGATTCGCGCGTCACGAAAAAAGTTTCATTACCACACTCGGCCAGATTTCCATTACCTCGTGTGGCCCTCACCCGCTGGTGAGAGCCGAGAAGGCCTCCTATGAGCCGCACATTTCTTGCTGGCAGTTTCGAATTATGGGCAGGCGCGATGGCATTTCGCACGCGGTACGATGTGATTAATTGTATTACCCAGCCCCGATATGGTTTTCCCGGTAACTCCGTGATTGTATTTGTGATCGCGTTGTTGTTGTTGTTGTTTTTCCCGTCGAGTAGGAATGAAGTACTCTTCAGTTGTTGATTCGGCTGCACTCGGTTTTCTGATAAGCATGCCGTAAGAGAAAGAAGCCTTTGTAATCATTCAAACTTTTGCCACGGACGCACCGCGGACGACGCTGCTACGGTCTTGAGCCGCGCGGCTCGATGCGGGCGGGCAGCAGTGAGTGGCGGGTCGCGACCTTGGGGCCACGGCTTTTAACGCCGCACTGGTTGAGTGACGGTCGCTCAATAGAGATACAAATTCTTATATACAAGTCGAGTCGACCTAAGGGAGGGCCCAGAACCGGTTCAGATAATCGTCACCGGTGTTCGCCGGGAGCGGGAATCGAACCCGGGTCGCCAGGTTTGTAGCGCAGCGCGCTGACCACTACACTACCGCTCCACACTTAAAAATACATTACTTCCCATACCGGGAATTGAACCCGGGCCACCTGGGTGAAAACCAGGAATACTAACCACTAGACCATATGGGAGTAAAGCCTGGATTTGAACTTGGCTCACCTGCTTGAGAGGCAGACATGCTATCCGTTATCCCACAACCGCTCGGTGGGGGTGCAATTATTGTTGTTATAATTTTTTGCCGGCTTTTCAACGTTCCTTTCGGCGCATTGTCGAAAAGCCAAATCAGTCGGCAGCGTTGATTGGCTCTGGTATCCCGGATGGCTCTGTGGGGTACAACTGCCGATCGGCACTGCACCTGCACCTGACGATATGACCCATAGGGTAACGAATTATACACTATGTAACACAATTTTTGTTCCTGCGTAGTAAGTGTTATTTCCTAATTGCTTATGCCTAAAAAGAATAGAAAATGGCTATTATTCCCCACAAACTTTGCTTTTGCGACCAAGACAATTATATTTTGAAATTGACCTATTTTCAATAAGAAAACGGGCGAATTTGTGTCTTTTCGTTCGCATAACATCAGAAAAAACAACATATGAATCAAAATGTACATGTATTTATTCTAAAGTAATACAAAATTAGTCCAAAAGATTTAGAAGTGAGTGGTTTTTCGAGATTTACGATTATACTGAAAATCACTTTCACGAATCAGCCCCCAAATGTAGTCTCCCATAATTTTCTCGTTATATTGTCCTTGGTAGCAGCGTTAAAAGTCCAGTATATCCTGGTGGAAGTGCTCGCCTTGCTCCTCCGAGTACACTCCTATGTTCTCCTTGAATTTATCAAGATGAGCATCAAGGATATGGACTTTGAGGGACATCCTACAGCCCATTATGCCATAGTTCTTCACTAGAGTCTCAACATGGTTTTAGACCTTGTGATTTCCCAGGAAGCCACGAACCACTGCGACAAAGCTGTCCCAAGCCGCTTTCTCCTTACTAGTGAGCTTCTTGGGGAATTCATTGCACTCCAGGATCTTCTTTATCTGTGGTCCTACGAAGACACCGGCTTTGACCTTTGCCTCAGACAGCTTAGGGAATAAGTCTTGAAGGTACTTGAAGGCTGCTGACTCCTTATCTACAGCTCTGACAAATTGTTTCATAAGGCCCAATTTGATGTATAGTGGTGGCATCAGCACCTTCCGGGGTCCACCAGTGGCTCCCACTTGACGTTGTTCCTCCCCACAGATAACTGAACTCGGTTCGCTGTGGCCAGTCCCGTCTGTGGTAGTGCGCCTTGGTGTGCCTGCTGTGCGAAAGGCAAAGATAGCAGAGCAATTTGGAAAAACTGCCTTGGAGACCCATCAGGAATGCCACCATTTTGAAGTCTATGATGACCTCCTAGCCATACTCATCATACTTCAAGGCGTCCAGCAAGGTCTTGATGCTGTTGTAATCCTATTTTTGAGGTGCACCGAGTGAGCCAGGAGAAGAGACGGGTACTTGTTACCATTATGGAGCAGCACGGCTTTGAGGCTCATGGATGAGCTGTCAATGAAGAGGCGCCACTCATTCAGGTTACAGGGGATTACGATTGATTCGAACAGACTGGTCACATTGTGGCAGAAGCAGAGCCCATCCTGACGGGTGAAGAAGCTGCAAAAGGTTGGTGACGCTTCCTCTGATCTGCGACTTGCACACTTTCATCCAGCTCGGCATTGGACTTGCTGAGACCAATATCTCTGATCAAGTCGTTGAGGTATTTTTGGTTGGGGTAGTATGGGTTTCTCTCCTCAGCTCCACCTCTGATATTGTCATCTGGATCTATAACGTCTTCCTCGCTCTCTGACTTGCTGCTTTCTTCTAAAGACGGCTGCTCTCTCTCCGGAGGAGTGGGTACGGGGAGCTCATGGCAGTGTGACACCGGGGCAATGGATGATAGCAGGTGCATTCTTGCCAGTCCGACGTTTGGAAGGGTCCACCATGCAGAAGTAGCAGTTGCTTGAGTGGTCAGTGGGTTCCTGCCAAATTCTTGGGATAGCGAACTTCACGGCTCTCTTTTCCCCTCTGGACCATCCTACAAAAATACATTTATTTCGCCCATGAATCATGTGCAAGAGATTCCCCCAACACTTTTTCACGTATGATATATTTTTTTCAATAACATTGAAAATTGTAAAAAAAAATTAAAATAAAAAAAACTTTTACAATTTAAAAATTGTTAACAGATTTTATAACATGAAACTCCGAGCAAAAATCGTCCATCTGACTTTCCATAGTTTTTGTTGCATTGCTCGCAGGTGAAATGAGGTGCCCAGGGTTTGTCTTGATCCCCGACAGGCATGCCGAAATATGCCTTGTAGGCCTCACACATCTTAGCAGACGCTTCCACAGAGTACTGTATCGCTCTTGTCTTGATAAATTGGCCGCAGACATCGCAAATGCGTCTGCTGGATGCTTGCAGCCTTTTGATGCCATCTCAGAAAAATGCAGATATGTATCCACTTAGGCAGCTGGAACTAAACTGAACTGGTGGGCTTAAGGCCCCTGTATTTATACTACTATTTATATTACTGGAAAGTTATAGAATGTTCGAGAAGTTACTCCAAGTTTACTCAGCACTGACTCTATCTGGAATGTTCTGAAAAATAGGTCAATTTAAAAATATCACTGTCCTAGTCAGAAAAGCAAAGTTTGTTGGGATTAATAGCCATTTTCTGTACTTTTGAGGCACACAAAATTCGGAAATAACACTACCCAGGAACAAAAAAATAATAAATTTGTTACACAGCGTTATTAATGGAGTGGATTATTACATTTGCTTTTGTGTCCTGGTCACAAAAGCAAAGTTTGTAGGGAATAATAGCCATTTTCTGTACTTTTGAGGCATAAGCAATTGGAAAATAACACTTAGTACCCAGGAACAAAAATAAATGTTTTGTTACACGGTGTTAACAATCGCAGCAGTGGTCGTGCAAGCCTCGGGCGGATTTTTTGTTGTTATAATAATTCCCTTCCAGTCGAGAGATCAGAGTCGAGTAGATACATTTTGTTTTTCTGCATTGCAGTTTTACCACTATGATGATTATTATTATCATCATCAATGCGACGAAACTATGAATTAAATTTGAAGTCTTTGCTTTTTCATTAAATATAATACAATGCGTTTTCTTCACGAGAAAATGTTTGGTACGCTGTGTAAATTGCTTGATCAAATGTAATATTATTCCCGCTCACTGACTTCTGAACAAACTAATATATACACACACATACATATTTATCCCGCGGCTATTTCATTTCGAACATTCCCATTGCACTGCTGTTGTTTTCTTTTCGTGAGACTTAAAAGAAATTGAAAATACAGAGAGAACGATTATGTCACTGGTCAGGTGTTGTGCATGCGGTTTGACAAAACAGACGCATTGTTGTTATTGCAGAAGTCTCCAAGCGGCCCTGCTCCCGTTAACAATGAGCTACACACAAATACAAAGATCCCCCGTGTAGACTTAACAGACACTCGGGTAAAATGCTGTGAGCGAGCACCTATGAAAGCCGGCACGGCACACGAGGGGGTGGGTGGCCAGCACCACGCCTGGCCACCTTTGTCTCCCCAAGTGGCTGATGTTTTCACACCACACCAGGTACCCATTGAAAGCCAGAACTGGTTCAGACGATCGCCACTGGTGTTGATCTTGAGCGGGAATCGAAATCGGGTGGCCAGGTGTCCTAGCGCTGTCCGCTAACCACCGCACACACACACTGACACGAGGCTCGCCGAACAGCATTAGTCACCGTATTGTTTGTTTGATAGGATAGAAGAAGATTCGAACAAAGTGACTCAGGGCGATGAGTCATGTTTCTCATGCTCCTCAGTGTTGCATTTATTTTTATCTTTCCTTGAGGAAAGTGGCCAATTAAATCTGAAGACGGTCGGCCCTGCAAACTGCTGGCGGGGATTAAACTAATGATTTCTAATTGCTCATTAGCCTCAATCTCTAACCCGTACCTTTATATGCGCGCCTTTTTGTTGTTTTGAAGAAAGCCACCTTCTGTCACACCTACTCGATGTCACGCTGTTAGACTGTTCAAAAACCCCCCCAAGAAAACTGCATAAACGAACACAGCTGTCGTGAGAGTCGTGGATGATGAAAAGGGAGCCGCTTGTGTTGCGATCGAAACGTCGTGGGCTTTTTGCTTTTTTATTTTCAATGTATTATTTATAGTTTTTAACTTTTAAATTCTAAATTTTTAATGTTCTTTTTATTTTCTATCTACGTGACTTTACCGAGAGACAACCAATAATATGGGAGCCCAGTAGGTAGACGTGGGGGTGCCTCTGCAGGGTGCACGCGCTCATCATCGGCCGCGCCTGTGCGGTTTTTACGGATTTTACAAACTGGCCCATTGCCCCCAGTTGCTGACGGATATTTTCCAAAATAATGCACAGACGGACTGAAATGAATTTCTACACGTACGAGCATTTCTTCCCCTCCCCCTCTCGAATGTAATTCTGTAAGTGACGCAGGCTTTGTGCTGCGACCCATTGCCCGACCAAGCCAGACATTTTGTTTTAACTCCACAACAAAGTTGGCACAGGGCGGCAGGGTAAACATACACCAGGATGGGGTTATTTACACATCGATATATTTGTGAATGACACCCAAGTGCCCCAGATTTCTCATCTTCCCAATGGCCGTTTAATACGTGGCAGCGACTAAACTCCAATTAAAAACCCACCCATCTCGAAGCTCGTGGTAATTGGTTGCGCAATTAATGGGCAGTTACACATCGGTGTATTGGCAAAAATCGCTGGCCTTTTGTTAAGCTCCGTGTCTGTGATGAGCTCACCCGCTATTAAACGCCCGCACAGTTCCAGTTAAATGACGCACGGTGAACGCACGGTTAACGCACGCACTCTCTCTGAACGGGGTATTTCCTCCTCATTTGCCGCTCATTTATCCTGTTAATGGAGAGGGTGGCACCACGGCCTGGGCCGACTTGAGGAAGCTGTTCCTTTAGAGGTCCCTGTGCCACACTGTGGATTAATTGAACGCAATATGAAATGGTTACAAGATAAACAAGTGGGTAGTAATACACCTTGCCGTATCCGTAATGGAACATAAAAAAATAGAAACATTCTTTACACGCGTGCCATCAGCCACCACGGCTTTCTGGGAGTAAGTTTTTTTTTTCCAGCAGCATTGTTCTAATAAATAAAACACTCCTGAACGTAAATCGCTCCCAGAAGGCTGTGTGGCCAATGGCGTGTGTGAAATTAAATATCCCTTTGCGTGTTTTTTTCTTTTTACGCGGAGGAAAAGATACGTGAAGGAGACGCAAGCGATTATTCTTCTTCGTCTATTATTCTGCCTCATATGGCAAGGAATTAAAGCTGCGACGCATGGACATTCAATGGCTTTCCCTCTCACGAAATCCATCACGATACGTAGCAAACTGTGGGTACGGTAGAAGTACAAAATCGGTACAACGTCACGTATCCAGCTGACACTTATCCGCCCCGACTAATTTGTGGCCCACGCTCCCAGTGCGGTGTCCGCGTGTAGTATCACCGTCATTCTCTGTCGATGTTCACAAATGCCACTGACAGCCACACATTCTTAATCCTCCATACATTCGCTCTCTTTCAAACCTCAGGAAGGTTTTGTGTCGTGTTTAAAGCGGCTTACTCTTTAAATTTGCAAAGTAACTTACTTGTGTGCGGTGTAAGTGTCACTTTATTCTGATGTTCACATATCCGACTTTTCACACATCTGCATTTACCTCCGTCCTCAACGCTACGGATATTGGACACTGTACTGTACTGCCAAGTTCCCTGACCTCTATACTGTCTTTTTTTTCTCAAGTTAAAATGTCTTAACATTCTCAAATGCGCAATTGGGCCACACGCATCTTCACTGGCAGTTCACTGCCAGTGGTGGAAAGTCCTCATTCCCATAGCGAGGGGCAGATCATCCAAAAGGGTTAAGCACAGTTGACCACTCCCACCCAGTGAAGCTTATGCGTAGGGCATCGATAGGGATTGCTACATCACAGGACCGTGAGAGATGGAGACGACTTGGGGAGGCCTCCATCCAGCAGTGGATTGATCATGGCTGATCATCACGATGATGGTGGAGGTTATTTCACCAACCCCAGAGGAATAGTGGTAGTGGTGATGATGATGTTGTTGTTTGCCGTCAATTGACCCTGGTCAGCATTTGAACTCAGGCTCTCGCTGATGAGAGCCTCTGCCTGCTGCTAGATCAGGCCCGAGTTAAGTTCTGACGCGTATGCTCCTCAAACTTCCCCACGGTAGATTTTGTTTCGCCTATGACCGGGTGGGTCACGTTAATTATTGCAACGTCACGTCATCTCACTCGTAAGTTGAAATGTCTGAATAAAAAACAAATCTTGACAATTTTTTTTAAAATCTTTATTTGTTTCTGCATTTTCTGCGGCATGTTTCTTCCTTGATTCTTCATGCATGTTCAAGCGCTGTCTTGCTTTTCTCTTTGCCGATACATTTTCCACAGTAGTGCGATCACGAAGATGGAGTTTTGTTTATTTAACAGGTACCTGCGCCCTGGTATACGCTACCCGTGTATACCATACCCCGCTTGTTGGCGTGTGTTTGTATTTCTCACCGCGCAACAGAAAGTCACAAACTGGCTTCTCAGGAGACGAGCAGCAAGAGGTTCCAGGGGGCTGAAAATCTCTCCGCTTTGTCATTCTTCCTTCGTGAAAAAAAGCAACTTTTATCTGAAATTATAGAGCAGTCTGTGCCTTTCAGCCAGGTGCCATTCTCACGAGCGAATTAAATAAACGGATGGGGAGGAGACAGAAGGATGCAAAATTATGGACATTTTATTTTACTGTCACGCCTGGGTAACGACTGACATGATGATACATTTGGCGTGAACGTGGTTTTCCATTGGCAGATGTTGGTACGTAAGTGTTGTTGTACGTGACAGTGACGCTGGTCAAAGTCGGTTTTGGTGAAGGGAGTCACAGTTTGTCTCGCCTCTTGCTGACCACTCGCTTGGTGTGTGGCTGCCCCGATCCAGTGGAGCTGCTGAGGCTCACAGAGACACGGGACATGGAGCTTCTCTGCCACAGCAAGGCAGCGAGCCACTGATGAATTATTACAAAAATATATATTATGCTTATTTTTAATTATATTTCAGAAGCAAAAAAAACTGTGATGCGGGGGGGGCGGGGTACAGAAACTCCGCAGACAGAAGTCCCGAACGCTGTGCGCCTGAGTTTAGATGGGGGGGGGGGGGGGGGGAGAGATTGGGCTCGCTGCTGCCCCGCCACGTGGCGACCACGAGTACGTGTGTGTGCGTGTGTGTGTGCGCGTGTGTGTGCGTGTGTGTGTCTGTGTGTGTGCGCGCGTGTGTGCGCGTGTGTGTGTGCGTGTGTGCGTGTGTGTGCGCGTGTGCGTGCGTGTGTGTGCGTGTGTTCGTGCGTGTGTGTGTGCGTGTGTGTGTGTGCGTGTGTGTGTGCGTGTGTGTGTGCGTGCGTGTGTGTGCGCGTGTGTGTGTGCGTGTGTGCGTGTGTGTGCGCGTGTGTGTGCGCGTGTGTGTGTGCGTATGTGTGTGTGTGTGTGCGTGTGTGTGTGTGTGCGTGTGTGCGTGTGTGCGTGTGTGTGCGCGTGTGTGTGCGCGTGTGTGTGTGCGTGTGCGCGTGTGTGTGTGCGCGTGTGCGTGCGTATGTGCGTGTGTTCGTGCGTGTGTGTGTGCGTGTGTGTGTGTGCATGTGTGTGCGTGTGTGCGCGTGTATGTGGGAAGGTTAATGTGAAGGGGAAGAATAACTTAAAGAAGGGAGTAGACGGAGTGCGGGGGGGTGGAGGAGTTATGGATGAAGGAAAATGAGGAGCACTTAGGAATGAATCGCTTACAAGCGCTGTGGTGAACTTATCATCCTGTCATAGTCTCGTAGGGCGCTAATTAACTCCAGTCCATCCCTGTAGGAAGGGCGGGGGGGGGCATTCTTTGCACCTCTCCCCGCCGACCTGCCGGAGTAGAAATGGGCAGGGTGTGGCCCCTTGCCTTCACGTTTGCGGCTTCAATGTTCTGTCCCCGCGAGGGCGTAGAGGGTGCCGTGCCATTGTTTCCATGAAGGGGGTCGAATGACTCCTTGATATATATGCAGGGTGCTTCAAACAAATGTTCAGACTTCTGAGAATTTGCAACAACACCACAATAAATGTGCCCTCTGGGCTCTGGAGACCACCTGGAGACAATGATGGCGAAAAAGGGCAGACTCTTTGACTTTTTGAAGCTATCAACATACATTTCTTATGTTACAGTGGATTATCTGTTCTTTTTCTATTAAAAACAATATTCCCACATACGTGTTAACATTCATTTGAAGCACCTTGTATATATACCACATTTTAAAATCAATTTAAATAGCGAAACGATTTAAATGCTCGCTCGTCCCGTTCGGTGCATCTCGGGGAGGAATGGGGTAGGCCCTGGCGTGTTGTTCGAGGTGCCGGTATTTTTGGCTTTCTGCTGCCCGAATGAATCGTGAAACGTGGTGGCCGAAAATTCACCGGAGACGTTTTTGGCAACTCGTTCAAATTTCGCGGAATATTTGCCCACGAGACAGCGGTACCATTGCAGTGGCTGCACACGCAAGCTTGACGCTACACGTACACCTCCAATTAGCCGTGACGCTATACCACACCTCCGATTTGCACGGTTGGCTGCGTATGGCGTGAAAGAAATTCAACACGCGCATACATACACGCACAGCCCTTTTTGCCAATCCGTTGCTGGATGAGGGCCTCCCCATGCCATGCGGCTCTGTGGGGGTCAGTTGACCGTCATCCGCCACCCTCGTTTGCCAGTGCGGGTCTGCTGCAGGTGGGAAGCGTGGACACGGGACCATAGAAGTACAGCAGAGCTTATTGTGTTTCACTGCACTTTGCTACCCACAATGGAGTTCCGTGGCCCATCCCACGGTGGTCGCCCACCAAAGCACCGTCCATTCTCGGCGCTCGGCTTCTGAGATCCGATGGGATCGTGCAAATCTGAGTGTTTTGATCATGGGCGATTCCATCCTCTTCCTGGAGATAGCAATAGCTACAAGGGTTGGATCGAGCCTAGACATTCAGTGAAGGAGCATCATGGGATGCCTCGTGAACTTTTGCCATCTCACCGCCGGGAAGAAGTGAATATCGGGGCGATTATTTTTGTTGCGTGGAGAACGCCCTGGCACAGCTGCAGCGCAGATCGTCCCGTAATCATCGCTGCTTGTGCATCAGATGTGGGATATCCCGATTCGGTTGATGATCCGCCCACTGGCGCTGGATCGGCAATACATTTACGGAACCCCCTGCAGCTTCATCTCGGTCCCGCCTAAAATCCCAAGAAATTCCACTGAGTTCCAACGACTTAAAAATATATATATAATAATAATAAAACATAATAATAATAAATCACGACGTTTCGTGACACAGATACATTTACTGTGACGGTCCCACCTGAAGACGGAGACTTGTGTTGCCTCCGAAACGTCGTGATTTATTATTATTTTATTATTATTTTTTTACCTACGCGACTTTACCTAAAAACCTGAGAGTATGAATCCTCGCAGTCACGAAAGCTTAAAATCTAGAATTCCAACGACTAAATTGGTAAACGTAGAGGAGTTTACACAGGTGGTTCCTGAGAAACCAGTTTCTTTCTTTTTGAGCCACCCCCATTACTATTCCATCCATCTGCTGATTATTTTTTGAAGTTACAAATCAGGGCGCTATAAAAAAAACGCCGCACTGCGCGGCACCGCGCCGAACCGTCGGCCCCGGTGCCTGCGCGCCTCGTATCAGGCGCCGTGGTCCTCGCTGCCATCACCCACCGCTCGCTCGTGTCCTGACGGGCAGGGCGATGCGGTGGCTGCCGAGTGTCTTCTGTTGTCGCGTAATGAAATGTGCGTGTCGCCCCGTGAGAGATTTTACCCCAGATCCTCCGCACCCCCCCCTGCACCCCCCCCACCCCTAAGCAGTGGAAGGGGTCAAAGGGCACGTGTGCGGTGCTACTGCGATTCGTGGCACATGCGCAAAGCCGCGCCTGACTTGTGAATGGACACGTTGATCTTCTTTCGCATGTTGTGTAGCCAACCGTGCTAATCGGAGGAGAAGATCTCTTGTAAGCCGGATTTGTGCATTGCCAGTGAAACATATATTTATAATATATATATAGATCATACAGCTATTACAAGTAATACATCTATTTTCAATTAGGTTATGTAATACATAAATGTTCTACGCGGGTCGCATATTCATGCAATATTATGCTAATCAGGAAATGAATTAAGCATGGGGATTTTAAATATTTAGCATAAATGCTCAGGGCACATTTTGTATGCTGAAACACAACTCTTAATTACTGTAATTGGTTAGTTTAATTATGCATGATGCTTACCATTTTGTTCATATTTTCTTTGTTAAGAACGATGGGTTGGAATGCTGACACCCACTCATTTTGGATTAAAGCTCATTGTAAGTGTACATTTTAGTTTGTAAAATAAATCGCAACAAATATCCTGTACACAGCACGTTACATGATCCAGACAGAATATGAATTACGACGATAAGAGTCTATTTATTTTTCTTTGTTTCTCTAATAGCTTCACTAATTCGGAGAGGTGCGTCGTTATTCAACTTCGCGATGCAACATTGCCTTGATTTGGTACACGGCTGCCATCCAGGTAACCAGCTTTGACTGCTCATAAATCGTCGAATGAAGAAGAATACCAAATGCGTGGGTTATCTCTCCTTGCGTCCTCACTTCCTTCTTGATTGAGAACAATTGCGATGCTCATTGAAGGCAAGATGATGGCTCCCACACGATGGACAGATCCTTCTAGAAGCCTTCCAATTTAACAAATGGGATGCCACACGAATAGGAATGTGCAACTCACCGAGACTACACAAATTCTGGCAGAACCCCGTGGACATAGCAGTGGCAGAGTGATTACCACACTGCACTAAGCACCAAATGATATCAGTTACCAAACGGTCTGAGTACTATTCTGGCTATACCCAACATCAGTGGCGACTGATACCTGAACCGGTCCTTGGGGTCTCTCTAACCTCGAGCAATCTGAGTCCACCGCCCCAAGCCCTCCCTGGAAGCGGCAGCAAGAGCTCTGAAGCTGAATGTTCTGTTGGGAAAGCAAGAAGATCTACGCACGGGTTTCCAAAGTACCCGCGTGTCTACTGGAACACCTACGGGGTGGCGTTTTTATTCCCCTGGGGGTCTATCCAGGCCCCATGAGCGATCAGGTGGTTGGAAAGCGAATTGTGCTCAAGAAAAAGGGCGATTGCCCAACATTTCTACTATTTATATATTTGTTTCCTTTTAAGACCACAGTCAGGTTAATCCTCTTCATCCCCTACGGGACATAAGGCCACAATGAGTTCCCTCCACTTCTTCCTGTCCTTGGCAACACGTTGAGCCCTCGCCCCGAGAGAGGTTGATCGCTGCCAGCTCCTCCTTCGCAGTCTTGCGAAAGGTGGCCTGGGGTCTCCCAGGGCTTCCTTTTGCCCGGTGGTGTCCAT